TACTCTTCTGCTATCTACCATCACACCAAACACAACCAGGGACACTCTTTCAAGCTAGAGGCAACCGACATCCTCGACCGTGAACCACGTTGGTACGAGCGCGGAGTGAAGGAGGCCATCTATGAGCGCATCTACAACCCCACCCTGAACAGGAAGGGGGGACTGCGCATTGAACTCTCAAGCACATGGGATCCCGCCCTGCCACAGCCCAAGGGACAGTAACTTTTCCTATGGTAATTTCTTACCATAGGAACCTTCCTTACATGACAAAGACTCTTACGGTTGTTGAACATTTTTAATCAGGTGCTAAACACAGATTAGTACGCCCCCTTTGTCCCCCACATTTCAATTGTGGCCCGCGTTACACCTGCGCCCTTCTTGTTCGGCTCCGCATCGGCACCTGTGCTCTCAATCACAGTTTGTTTACCCGAGGATTCTCTACCAGTGCCTTTTGTAGATGCGGGTGTCGTTGCGAATCTGTCATGCACTTCATGCTACATTGTCCATTATACAATCACCAGAGATCGGAACTTTTTGGCAATCTTTCAGATTTACTCGGTCATCTTGTTAACCTTAATAATATGTCAGATAATGTTAAACTGCACTTTATTCTTAGAGGCTCCTCAATGTTACCCTCTATGTACAACTTTAAAACGATGCAACTCACTCAGATTTACATTGGAGATACTAAGCGCTTCTAGCTCTGCTCGACTTTTTTTAACAGTCAATTAATTATATATAACTCCAAATATTACATATGTGTTAATGGTGACTAGATTCTCCTCCTAGCTCTGATTGGCGGATGTTTTTCCGCTAATAAGATATAGGAGGTTAATTACCACGTGATCTCATCTTTCAAATAGCTTTATTAGCATTTAATTTACCATTTTAATGCCTTTGGGTGTTGGTAATACGGCGCACAGATATGTCAACTTTGTATATTTAAATGTTAATTGTACTTTTTTGTTGTGTGGCGCTGTTAATATAAGTTGTAAACTTGAGTGCAGCGTCACACTGTTCTTTTCATGTTTTCATGTTTTGATGAATAAAAAAATACGCAAAGATGAAGGGGTCATCAACAACAATTGCCCTAGTGCGAATGGTACACACTTTGTTGACTGCATTGGACTCTAGAAATCCAGCCGTGATACGCGCGGTATTCGCAGACATGAGCAAAGCGTTCGACCGCGTGGACCATGCTCTGCTCCTCCAAGCTGTGATCGACCTCCAGGTCAGCCCCAGAATGGTGGCTTGGATTCACAGCTACTTGCAGGACAGACGACAGAGAGTGGTCATCAAAGGGGACCCGAGTTCTTAGTGCACACTAACATTAGGTGTATCACAAGATGTTGTTATTTCCCCATCTGTTCCTACTGTTCATGAGCACTCGGACAATAGTTCACCTGGACACACTAAATGTCAGCTATGCCGACGACGTTACCTTGGCTAGAACACTCTTGGCACTCAAGGCGGACGACGATAGGACAGTCAAGGAAGAGTCATCTCGACTGTTGGGCCAACAAGAACAGGATGACTCTTAACGGCAAGAAGAGCCAACGAATTTGTGCCAGCGGTGTGCCAAGCTATATCCGTGATGAGTACAGGGATGAAGTGATAATATCTCCATGCAAACGCAGCTAAAGATTGGAAGCATTACGGCGCTCATTGTTGCATCGTCACGCTCTCACAGCGATAGTATGACCCGGTTCCATACCATCGCGGAGGTGACGTCGCTCATGGCGCTCTCATCGTCCTCTCATCGTGCTTCCATCGCGCTCCCATGGCGACCTTGGCGCTATGACGCGCTTTGGCCGATTTTAAGTCGCATAGTGAGTGCCGTGAGTGCCGTCTAAGTGGAATGGGGGTATTAGTTAGCGCACTGATCTCCAGGAAAGCGTGTTCATGTGGAATCTCTACGGCAATGTCCGTTTTGTTTGCTTTATTCGCCAAAAAGCAGGTACTCAAGCAACTGGATATGATTTTGGAAACGGACAGACGTTTCAGCTAGCATCCACTAGCTTTTGTAAGTGACATTTTGCCGTTTTTGCTTTGTTGTTTTCACAGTCAGTTGTTGTACATCCTGAATTATATTCAAGCTATGAAGTCATGGGTGTACTGCCCCTATATCTATCGGCGCTCTCACTGCGCTCTCTCTGCTACTGAAATTAAACGGAGCGGTGAGAGAGCGTGGAGAGAGCGCCAAGGTCATCATGTTTTGTATCTGAATTAATGTTGAGCCGTTCTACGCTCTCATGGTGCTCACACCGTGCTCTCTCCGCGCTCTCACGTTGCATCGCCGTCCTTGGCGCTCTATTGGCGATTGTATGAACCGCTTCCATACAGTCGCCGAGATGACGGCGTTCATAATCGCGTTCTCATGGCGCTCTCTCCACGCTTAGGCCAATTTCAGGTCGCGGAGAGAGCGCCGATAAGCGCGGAGATCGCCGATAAAACAAAACACCTCAATACTACCTAAAGGCCCGGTCACACTGGCCAAACTTTGCTGGAGCGTTCCTTTAACGGTAGGGACGGGGTCCGAATTTCGACAACGCTCGTCACCGCGCCCAAAATGTGGGAAAATAAATAAAACACGGGCGTTGACTTAGCGGTGTACCGCTGAAGCCGACGTTGCTTTAGCGTTGGTTTAGCGGTGGCGAACGTTGGTATAGCGGTGACGCAAGCGTTGGTATAGCGGCGTTCTGCGCATGCGGTTTAGCAGCATACCGCTTGTGACTACGGAGTTGAACGGATCGTTTTGTAGTAGTACAAGTTCTGTTCTGTGTGTGTGGGGACTTATAGCTTTAATAAACATCATTTTGTTAATCTATTCTTGACTACGTTACTTAATTAATAATGAAAATAAAACGTTGCAGATTGGAAAGTTCCCCTGTGACCCCGATAAAGTGATTGTCCCTTCTTTGAACATTTTACATGTGGCCCCAAAATAATTGCACACTAGTACACCAATCATAGCAAGTCTCTCAGCATCCAGGGTTATACAGTTTTACTGTAATTTCGAGCAAATATAGATGAGGCCTGAACTCAACGGCAGCTCGATTCCAAATGAGCACCTGGTTCATTTCTCACCGTACTTATAGCCAAATTCTGGTCCCGCTCCGACACCTCTATACCAACGCCAAACCAAAGTTCATTGCCGACATGGATCGCTGCTTCAACGCCTGACACCGTTCCAGCAATCCCGTGTCCGCTCGTAAAAAGCTTGCAACCGCTCCAGCGAAGTTTGTGCAACGTTTGTGCAACGTTTAATCGCCGCCCGGGCAACGCTGGCGAAGCAGCGGTGGTAAAGCGTTCAAGATTTCTGCGTTGGTCTAGCGGACCCAAGCGTCCACGAACTTGCGTCTAGCGATGCCAAACTTTGACTGGGCGTTGGTGGAGCGGGGGTAAACTTTGCCGGGGCGGAAAATTTGCCCCTCCTCACCGCTCGCAATATTTTGTGCAGCTCAAAACTTTCGGAGCGGTAGGAGGGCCCCTCCAGAAACGTCAGCGGTGGCCGGGCGTACACGGCGTTGCTTTAACGGGGGCCAACTTCTGTTTAGCGGTGGTGAGCGGTTTCGAGCGGTGATGAATTTTATTCACCGTTCAAGCAACGCTCCAGCAAAGTTCCGCCAGTCTGACCGGGCCTTAAGGAAGCTGTGTCAGGGAAGCCTTGGAACCCGATGATTGCACTTGTAGATAGAACCAACTCATCCGTTAACAAAGTATATGTGAACTACTAGAACTCTTCTTAGGATGCACATATTTCAGGACAGTTCTACCAACAACTGCACATCTGTGCCATGGAATCACCAGTTTTACCAATTGATCTCTCAGGCACTTGAGGCTCCCAGCCCCAAAGACAGACAACACTATTTATTAAGATCTTGTTCTGCAAAACAGGAGCTTATTGACTAATTTGCATCATCTTGTCTTGACTTGTCTAACTTTTGTTTCCTTTTGCACTTGACCTTTAAAAAAATTGTATTCACTTTTTCGCACATCAATCAATAGTTTGTGCTTATAAACATGCATTTCTCCTCTGGTCTAAAGTTCATCGACATACAAAAACTTGTTCTCTATTTCGGTATTTTAGTGAGCTGTAAAAGCGTTGGTCAAACGTAAGAGTTGATGACTTTTGAATGTTTTGCCCCGAAGAGAGCGCAGAATTATCGCCGGAGATTCCCCTTTAAGGCGTTTCTCGTAAGGCGTTCGGCGCATTTCCCAAGCTCTGGCCAATATATTTCAGCTCGCAATCAGAGCGCGGCAAAGGTATTTTTGCATATAAAGTTTGAGTCGTTCTGTGTAGATATACAACAGACAGTCATCTTCAGGGCATCGTTGATAGCATTTAGATATTGTATAAAATCTTGGAACTCTGGAGTTCTGTTAATCGAGTATGAATTTTCTCTGTATAAACAGATAGGCAACTCTAGTGATAGAATTGTCTTCGACCGGAAGAGGAACCCTCCCGACTATCAACCAAACTACGCGACACGTGACCACGACATCCGGTTGCTGGGTCCTACCGTGTTTGAGGGACGTGTCCAGGTCAAACTCAATGGGACCTGGGGTTCTCTATGCCTGCAGCATTCGTGGCAGCAGTGGAGGACTTCAGAAGCAACTGTAAGTAAACCAAATGTTTAAGTTAACCCTTAAATCGCCGCATGGGCTCAAACTGACCAGAGGCGTATATGAATATGTGCCATTTTGACATTTCTTATCAAAAACGAAATTCCTTTTATGTGATTTTGTTTGTATATATGTCTTATAACTTCTTTAACGTTTTCACTAGAATTTTTTTTTATCTGGGTAGAACAAATACCTGTTTCAACGTTTGTCTGTCCAGGTGGTTTGTCAACAGCTGGGGTTTGCGAACGGACGAGTGGAGAGCAGGTACCGGTATGGCACAGGGCGCATGGCTGTATGCAACTTAGAGTGCCAAGGCAATGAGGACAACATCTTTGAGTGTAGACATGACGACCTTGACCAACCCCCTCAGTGCTGTGAGTCACCTACGAATTGCATTTTCACATTTTCAGTTTTATAAAGCAATATAAGTATGCTGACTGGATCCTTTAGTACTTTTGTACTTAGTAATTTGATATTCAATCACTCACTCACTCACTCACTCACTCACTCAATGAAGTGACTTGCGCCACTACAATCTTATATTTAGAAAATGGTAAATATCAGGCAAGTCTTCTAGTAAGCTAGGCTTCATAAGGCCTAGGGTAGTTCTTAATGCGTGTTTCTGATTTCCAAAAGTGAATTTTGCGCAAAATAACAATCTTAACCTTATCTTGACGGGGGAGGGGGGGTAAAAGTGTCATGTCACATAGCGTCTGAACGGCTAGCGCTAGAACAGACAAACTTGGTGACTTTTCCTAGAATATTGTTGCAATCTCTATCATTGGAATAAGATTTTTTTTTAAATTGTTGCCATTGCAACGAATTCCTGACAGGCATTTTTTTTTGCTAAATTTAGTAATTGTCGTTTCACAATAGAATTTTATGGGTTTTATGTCAAGTTACAGATGGTTTGTAATATTAATAATATCCCATATAATTTTATGTCAATTTTATCATTAAAAATGCATAATTTATGCTAATTTGATAACGTCATTGGTCAAAATCCAAGATGGCGGACCATATCATTAGAACTAGTATATACAGGTTATTTTTGTTAAACTTTCATCAATTCTTCCATTTCCTTTTACAAAAAAGGTTCATATGAGCGTCTTTAGTCTGTTTACAATGTATTTTTGGCTTTATTTCAAAAAACTTTTTTAAAATTCAAGATTGATGATCCAATATGGCGGATAGCTTAAATATGCACGGCGTCATTTTATGACGTCATCGGTGTTGCTATGGGCAACATAAGACTTAGTACACCCTAATATTCTGTCATAAACACTTTTGGTAAAAGTTATGTCATATACCATTTAGTTTTTAGGGAATAGCCTATCTGGACGGTTTTGGCCAATAAAATCACATTAATCACGTAATAATGACGTCATATTACGTCATAAGAACATTGTAAGAAAAATTGTAGTAATGACAATTTTTTACTAGAACACCATCCTCTGAAAATTTGGTGGTCACACGACATACTGTTCGTGAGTTCTGAGGGGGGTCAAATGAGCAAAATGGGGTCAAAACCTAGAAGTGGCCTAACGGTCGTGTTTGGTAGTGACCACTAAGTAAAAAAAAAAAATATTGGGCAAAGAGCGACATGATTGCACAATATGCAATTGTATGGAATAAGTTGACTAGTAAAAGTCTAGATGATTATTTGTATTGAATTAATCACGGGGTTTATCCATCTATCTTTCAACCAGTAACTGGGCGTTACCGAAATGACCTTGGTGTAGTGTGCGATGGTCTCAGGAGCAGGGGAGGTGCCCATTGGAAGGGGTTGGATTTCCTCACAACGGATCCGTCCATGTACTCAGTAATAGAAAATGTCGACGTCCTTCATGGAGGTTCGGCAAACACAAACGCTGCCGTCAGCATCACGGCAGTGTCTCCTGAACTACACAACGTCAATGTCAAGTACAGCGAGCGTGCCGCCATTCACGTCAATAATCCAACCACTCCATTCCAAATTTCTAACTGTGAGATCTCTGATAACAGTGGAATCGGGCTTTCATTTGATAACCCTTTGCAAAACATCACTATTTCTTCCACCACATTTGCAAGAAATTTCCCTGCAGGAATGCACGTTACGGGTGCCCACAGTACAGCGATTCTTTCCATCAACACAAGCACATTCACTGAGAACAGTGGTGCAGGTCTGATGCTGTCAGGTGTTCCGATGAGGGTCGCTGTAAATGACTCCGTGTTCAACTTTAATTCACACTACGGACTCAGTATCTCGTCTGACAGAGCCACCAACCTTGAGAGTCACGGCTGCCATTTTGATCACAATGGCCTTAACGGTGTTCAAATCCGTTACACACGCATCGTCTCTTCGGAATCGACCACTACAGTGATGAGCAACGGTGTGGCAGACTGTAATGGTGGTAGAGGACTTGACCTCGAAATCAGCTACGATGACAGTGGTAGTGTGCCGCTTGTAGATCAAGTCGATATTGTAGGCTCAGAGTTTGTGAGCAACAATAATGGTTCAGTCAAAATTGCCGTGGACGGTTCTGATGAGAATCACTATCCCAGGATACAGGTCATCGAGGACATTTACCGAAACAACACAGAGACCATCCTCGAACTTAGTGGTACCTACGCACAGCTTGCAATTGAGAACAGTGAATTTGAATTAAATAAATGTGGAAGCAAGCCAGTCATTCACGTCCAGGGGTTTGAGAAGAAAGTTCGTCTCATGGGAAATAGATTCACCAGAAACACATGCAAACGTGTGGTGGTCTCTAACTCCGTTAGTACTCACTACGGACTCACCTTATCGCCGGTAGAAATAGTCGGCAACATTTTCGACAACAACGACTTCAACCCTCCCTCTCATGCATATATATCTGAACCACTTAGCGAGTACTGCACACTCGAAATTAGCGTTTCATCTTCTGAATCAGTGAACGTGACAAGAAACTCATTTCAAAGTGAATCATCTCGGCTTGAGATCTGCAGCAATGGCAGAGGTTTAGGTGGGGCAACTCTACAGGCACCGCTAAACTGGTGGGGAACAACAGACACATCCACTATAGCGAGCAAAATCTTCGATTACGACGACTGGAATAGTGGCGCAACTGTTGTGTTTGTACCGTACCTAAACTCACCATCAGGAACACCTATAAACCGTAACTACAGGTCTTACATGAGTGGAACACAGTTGGGTGGCCGTCTGTTCGACTCGTTACGTCTCACCACAACCAACAGCCCGTACACCATAACAAAAGACCTAACAATCCTCCCAAATGCCTCTCTTATCATTGATCCTGGCGTCGACATACAGATTTACGCACGGTTAGGCATACTTAACCTCGGTCATTTGGAAATATCCGGGACACCCGACAGCCCAACAAACTTCAACTTTACAGCTGGGAGTCGTCTGAATAGAACCGACGCACCGCGCCTACAAGAAGGAAGCTCCGAGTCCAACGGGCGACTTGAAGTGTACCACCAAGGCCAGTGGAAGGGCGTTTGCAGCCAATGGGAACAGGAGTTTATGGACATCGCCTGTAGACAGCTGGGACTTGGTCAATCAAAGACTAGAGAAGGCTTGCGCTGTGAAGGACCGAAAGTTTCCATCAGATGCGAAGGCTATGAAGAGAGCTTAGAAGAGTGTAGTTTCTACCACACATCTAGTTGCTCCCACTGTACAGCGCTGACTTGTGAGCCTACCCCAGGTTGGGGAGGAATTCGCAGCTACTCAAGTGAACCTGTCAACATCAGTAACACCAACTTTCAGTACGTTGGTCAGCTTCATAACGAGAAAGCCTCTGCACTATCAGTGCAAAATGATCCGTACCGGATGCTGTTCAACGAGATTCACATGACAAACTTCGTCGATAGCCAAACAGGAATAGAATTACTACCGGTGGAAGAAGTATACATAGAGAACGTCACAATTGAGAGTTGTGCCACAGAAGCAGGTATCTCGGTTCTAGATCCCCAACAGTCCGTCATAATACGCAGTAGTCATCTTACCAACACCGGAAACAGAATCGGTGGTGGCATCGGCATAAAGATGTTGGATACTTTGTCTTGGTCCGATCTTCACGAGCAGGCAGAGAGCGGGAGTAGCATGTTCGTTTCGATGTGTAGAGATCCACCAATCATCAATCTACGGCCGGGGCTGAGGCAGTGGCTTGTTCATGGCATTGTCAGGGGCGTTACTTCGAGCTGCTTGAAAAACATCCAGGCTCCGCATGGATACCGAGTCCAGTTGAATATGAAGAAAAGCGAGTTTGACTACGGGGCTTCAGACAACAACCTAACAGTCTATGATTCAAGCACCATGAATGACTCTTGCGTGCTAGGTACTGTTGATTATTACAATAGCTACCCAGGAGTGTTCACGTCGTCTGGGTCGATACTGACACTACAAATCAAGGCTAAACAAGGCCGTCGTTCGCTGTTCCTCGCTGAAGTAAGAGCAACTCCTGATGCAGGTAGGGACACAGGCAAAATTAATGAGGACATATTTAAAATAAAATATTGCTCAAGGATGCAAAATATTCATGCTAAATATTATAATTTTATTTAGAAAACCATAAATTAAACTACATGTCATTTTTTCATGTTCAATTAGACAAATCCCCCCAAAAATCATTTACATAAAATCTTCATATTTCATAAAAGTATATGAGGTCTACGAAATCTTGTTTTTATTCTGTTTCATTCTGTGTTGCGTATGCAACACCACTATGTAATCAACAAATTCTGGAATTGTATTCTACCTTTCTAAAATATGTAATAGTCTAATCCGCAGTATTTATTTCTAGTCCACAGTACTAGTAGTCCAAACGAGTCGACCAGGAAGATTTTCTTCCAGGACTCATCGGTGACCAACTTTGACAATGGGATACAAATCAACATCCCCAAGGCATATGTCCATATTGAAAGATCTACCTTTAGGTCTTGCTACAGGGGAACCTACGTGACCAATACGGCAGGGAATAAAACTATACTCGGATCGACCTTCGGTGAAAACACCATTGGTCTGCAAGTATCTAATACAGAAGGACTGATTATGCTGGAAGCGACAGTTTTCGATGATAACAACGGTTACGGCAGCACAATCTCTTCGTCGAGAGGTGATATCTTCGTATCAGATGTATTAGCAAAGAACAATCATAATGATGGACTCTACTTTGACGACATTGGCGGAGATGTCACTCTGACCAATATGTCAGCTCTTGACAACAATGGTTATGGCATCAAAATTTCTTCATCGCGAGGAGATATGTTCGTATCAGATATATTGACAATGAGCAACACCAATGGTGGACTCTACCTTAATGATGTTAGTGGGGATGTCACATTAACCAATGTATCATCTCTTGACAACCGTGGCGATGGAATTAAATTGTACACTATCACTTGTACTGTTGTTGCCATTGAAACCAAGTTGCAGTCAAACAGTGGTCAGGGCATCACCCTTATGAACGTTTTCGGAACAAGTTCAATCTCGGATGTGACGGTGACTGGTAATTCCAATGGCCTGTACATCTATCATGACAGCCAAACACGGGGTTCTTACAACATAACAGACTTCATGAGTGACGGAAATCGCGGGGCCGGAGTCCTGTTGCAACTTTCGTACAGGTCCCATGTATACATCTTTAACAGCCACATCAACGGAAATTGGCAAGGTGGGGTTTCAGTGGATATTACAGGCAACAGCATTGACCAATATCCTCAGATCACTATGACCAACAACACTGTCGCTAATAACAAACGTTTTGCGCTTCACGGAAAAGGAGAACTGGCCAACTTTGAGATTTCCTGGAACTCAATCAACCAAAACAGTTGCCCATACCAGCCAGTCGTTGCGTTTAAGGGAAAACCTAAATGCATTAACTTTTGTTTCAATAACGTGAGCAACAATAACGCCAGAGAAATATTCTCTGTTCTGTTTGAAGATCAGTCCCGAGTCGTTGAAAAATCCAGAGTCCTTATTACAGATAACATTATCAATGAAAATTTCTACAGTCCATCAGAAACAGACGGAAATTTCCAATACAGTCCATACCCAGACCCCTACTCCTGCACTATTGAGATAGGAGGATACAATGAGAACTACACGGTCACCCACAATTTGATAGATAATGCAAACATGAACCACACTCTATGTAGCAGGGTAGGTACGACATTCCCTGATGAAACCATCAACGCCAAATACAACTGGTGGGGAACTGTGGATGAAAAAGAAATTCAAAACAAAGTTGTTGATTTCGATGACTGGAACGACCGTGCACTAGTGGACTACTTTCCCTATCTGACCGGGCCTGATGTAAACTCCCAACCAGCTGAGCCTTCCATTCAAAATATTACGATGACGACAGATGACATTGGAGGACGACTATATGGAACGCTGCATCTCACAGAAAGTGGAAGTCCCTACACGATTAAGAAAGATCTAACTATCCTGGAGAATGCGTCCGTTACAGTAGAACCGGGAGTGCAGATTAGATTCCATCCCTGTGTTGGAATCTTTAACCTTGGTTCATTTGTTGTTGTAGGAACTGAGACTGAACAGATAGAATTTCATTCTGAACCATCAGCCATACATATTTACCATGTTCGGTTGGTCAATGGACGTTATCCCTGGGAAGGCCGTGTTGAAATACTTTATGATAATCAGTGGGGTGGTATTTGCTATGGATCTTATTGGGACTCTGATGAGGCAAACGTCGTATGCAGAGAGCTTGGTTACGGTGCAGCAACAACGCCACGAACATCTGAGTTTGGTGAGGGACCTGCCTTGTTTCAATCAACATATGACACAAATTGTAATGGGGATGAACTGAGTATTTTCAACTGTTTCCGGAGATTTCCCCAAGGGCACCCCACTAGCTGCAGTTCCTCGATAGGAATACGCTGTCACGCCCTGATGACGTCGGTATCACCTCGCCTGAGCTGTGCTTCCAACAAATGGGGAGGAATTAGATCCATCAGCCAGCAGGAATTCGAAGTTACGCACGCAGTCATCGCACATACCGGACGACTCCATGGCAGATTAAGCAGTGCCATCTATCTACATGGTTCAGAAATCAGCAGAAGCATTTCTAATGTACAGATACATAATTGTGAGGGAACAGGCATCAATGCTACTGGAAAATATACGTATGATGTAGCAAATGTTACTGTTCATTCCTGTCACGGTGAAGCCGGTATATCTGTGGAACGAGCGACCGTCACAAAGAATCTTATTTACAATAACACGTTTTATGAAGGAGCAATCACAGTTACTGCAACATCAACACTTTATGAAGCAGCAACCACAGTTATTGCAACATCAACAGCAGATACTCGTTGTGGCACACCCCTTGTCTTCAGTAATCTCAGCGCAACTTTTGCAAGTCCAAACTTCGGAACCTCTTCATACCCAACATACAGTCGATGTGAATGGCTCATTGGAGCTCCTGTAGGGCACATCATTGTACTGGACTTCCTTATTGTTGACCTAGGCTACGGCACTCAAGTAACGGTGTATGACGGACACGATATAACCTCTTTATCACTTGCAACATATGATCGCTACTCCCCATTCCCGAGTGATTCTATCACCTCAACAGGAAACAGCATGTTCATAGTTTTCAGGAGCGGTTCGTATTCAGGTCAAGGTTTTCTGGCAAAGTACCAAATAGGTGAGTTTGGTCAACTTAACTTATATTGTACTTTGTACTATGTATTTGCACTTGGATTTGCTTGAAATGAATCTCACCTATTTTATTTGCCTTATTAGAATGACCAGTCTAAAGAAAACTTTATTTCTTTCAGTAATACGTTTTTTACTCATGTGTTTATTCCGTCCAGACTCCCCTTCTGTGTGGAGAATCGACAACAACATCGTTAAAGACAACTTCGGCACGGCTGTAAAAATAACGTCACCAGCATCAGCTTCTGTAATCGACGTTCTTTGCAACATCTTCGAAAACAACCAAGAACACCAGACAAATGACGGAGAGGGAGTTATCAGTGTGACCCCTGAGCGATCTAATATAACAGTGAGAGGAAATGTGTTACGAAACAGTAAAATGAAGGGCGTAGTCATCGATATTCGGCGGCAGCTGAGAGGCAACGTAGCAGTAATAGACAACATGTTTCTAAATGGCAGGAAAACGACGTTGACGGTGCGTGGACAATATCACACATCCGGCCAAACGCCCGTGATGGTCAGCAACAACTTCTTCTCGGGAAATGACGCTACTGAGTCTGATAAAGTACTGTTCTTTGATCAAGCACCAGGCATAGTTGAAAATAACACCTTTGTCAACAACTCAGTTCGTCATATTATAGAATGGAACAATCGCTATAGTTCCGACGAACAAGAGCTATCCAACAATTTCATTTATGACAACGCGCCGTTAATGCCAGGGGAAAAATATGTCATGGTAGTTTCCGGGAGAAATGCTCAGATACACGGGAATGTCTTTACGAATCCTGCATTCGACGCAGAACTAGCAACATCGACCCTCACGTCATCATACCCAGTCAACGCTACCAGCAACTTCTGGGGTTTCAGTTCAGCTCATCTTATCTCAAGACGAATTCGAGATAAAAACGATGACGAGACCTGGGCTGAAGTCATGTACGATCCATGGATGGCAGTTCTTCCTGCAGATGGTGAGTTTGTCATGTTGTCAAACAGTGTCTTTTTATGTTTATTTTAAGTATAGCCATCATACAGGTGTCTTGGTTCAGTGATAACTGTTTCCTAATCACAACGATGCGTTTGTTTGTTATACTGGTGGTTTAATCTGACCGTACAGGAGGTTTTCTGTGAATGCAATGCTGGACATAACATTGCTGAATCATGATTTGGATGCTGTAAGCTTCTAGGTAGTGACGTAGTGTTACTTCGCAGTAATGTTCAGCACAGGATTGAAAGAGGTCACTTTTTACTGAAACATGTAGATCCGGTAGACACTGATTTTATACAGAAGTGATGTTTATACTGATGGTTACATACTTCTAGGTCCCTGTCCCCTCGGATGGAAGTACATCAAGCAACTCCGCACCTGTTACATGTACCACGGTGGATCTCAGGATTGGCTGGGCGCAGCTCATTCCTGCAAGGTTATATTCATCTAATCTAATATAGACCTTTCTAAAGCCATGAAAACAGAAGGGCTACCAAAGAATCTGCTTGGAGATTTCAGTTTTTACTTAGCCCATCTAGGGGATTAAGGTTTAAAGATAATAAGAGGGAATGTATTTTTATACCAAATATAAAAGTTACCTGCGTTTGTTAAAATATATTAAGTATCATTTTATCTCTCTGAGTTCTCTAGATCTGTGCTGCTTTGCCTTAGATTGTTGTAAGTCTGCTTACAACACCAAGCATTAGGGGCTAATACAGATGATTAAATCCATTTCATGTATTTCAGATTCGACATGCAGTAATTGCCAAGTCATTTACGGTCCAGGAGTTAGCGTTGATTGACATCATGATCAGAGCCAGAGAACTTGATTTCGTATCCGCTATACCCATCTGGAAGGACGGACCTGACTATGTAAGTAATGATGGCATTCTAAAAATCGATGTACAGGACCGGTGCTCAGTGCTTCTTATGTCTAACTTTTGTCCCATATATTCGGGACACAACACTAGGATACATGCATGAAAGGCATGTCATTGCCATCAATACTAGCCTTTGTTCGATTTTTCCTCTTGTTTTAACCCATTTGCTTTTTTGCTCCAAAAGATGGAAAATTCGACACAACGGTGCGAAATACATCTACCGTCGAATGGGTCACTCACAATGTTTGCTGACTGTGGCGCCTTCCATCCCTTCATCTGCAAGCGGCCAGTAGGTAAGAAAACGATCTACTTCAAATTTGGGGGGTGTACACATTTAAATATTACAGTGTTAGTTGTTTTATTATTAAGGAGAAGAAAAAAAATTCTGATTCTGTTACACAGTTGATGACTGCCCGAACGCTTGTTCCTACCACGGAAGCTGCATGGGAAGAACGTGTATCTGTGACAGAGGCTGGAAGGGAGAGGACTGTTCTAAGCCAAACTGCAACGAACGGAATGACTGTGGAGAGTTTGGCACCTGTGTTGGACCCAACATATGCAGATGTAGAAATGGATGGCAGGTTGTTTATCGTGTGAAAGATAGATTTACAAGATATGTATTGAGAAAAAAAATTAAAACCAAACTGCATACTTAATCCAAAATAGGAATTAGTAGACTCCAACATTTTAGGTCCCTTGCAACACTATAGGTTATATATACACTGTACTTAGAGCTTGATTACTCATGTTCATGTTCAAAGTTTTTATATCACCTGTATATTTCGACGTTTAATGCTATATTTATGACATATAGGGTCGTGCATGCACGGTCAGCTACTGCAACCGTTTCACCACTTGTAAGTCGTGCTCTATGGCAGTTGGATGTGGATGGTGTGACCAGAGGCAGAGTTGTGAATCTGGGCTGTACAGAGGTCCTGACGTCATGCCCTGTAACACATGGTTCTATCACAGTTGTTTCACCGTGGGAGAGAAAGAAGGTTGCTCTGGTGACATCGAGGTAAGTATTCTGTTTTTTTTTTATTGGCTTCTATGATTCGATAATACCCTAAATTCAACCATCATGGAACAGTTGTTTAATTAGAGTTACGTGATTAAATTGACATGCTTGTTAGAGAAGAAAAGTTCCAAATTAAACTTTGTTGCCTTAGCATTGTCATTGAAAGTCGATGACTGTGATATAGTCGTACCAGTTGGGTAACCTTTTCTTTTTGGATTATTAAATTAACATTTGAGAGGTCAGCAGGTGATAGACCTTGGTTAAGGAACTTAGTTCATCGTACAGATCTAAATCCGGATACTAGATCAAAATTAATTTGTCCTGCTGGCTTTCTTACACAATATTTCCAATAATTTCATGTCTTGATCAGGTCACAAACCCCCGCCTTTTTTGCCCTGCGTTGGCAAACGTTACTTCCGCATTCGTTGCGTTTCGCTGTCGTGTGATGCATTGCACCAGAATAGTTTCATCAGGTTGGTAAGTCAATACAGAAAGAGATAATTAAGAACAGTATTCAGCCAGTGTTTTATTGACCGTCTGTCCCTTGTATAATATATAACAATTCTGAAGGTGACAGACTTTCACCGTCGTCCTCTTACAAATCGGCTGTGTAAAAACTCTTTATTCAATATATACGGTAGTGTCCCATCAGCGTTTCGAACATGCCGCGATGTCAATATCTGCCTCCTGCTTGCAGATCTGTACTGTTCAATGGTAATTTGTTTCTACTGTAGGTTGTAGACTGTGAACATCGACAGTGCAACAAGGCACTCTCAACGACGACAGTAGAGTCATGTCTAAGATGCCAGGACGTTGAAGGATGTTTCAAAGACACGGTATCTAATTTTTTAAATGTGCTTTATGCTTTATCAATTTCATTATAATAATTGAATATTATGAAAATACTAGGTAATTTCGGTAATCAAAAGGTAATGGGGCAATTATGTACACCACCTGTAGTTTGTTTGATCATAGCCTAAGCAAAAATTCATCTTCAACACTAGAAAATTTTAGTTTTTACTTATATTGTACAAACACAAATGGTCTTTCATACTAAACCATCATTGTTACTTATTAAACATTTTATATTTAATCAGGTTGACGGCTTCTGCAAAGTGTGGAATGAAGATCAGTGTCCAAAGGGTTTCATCTACCCACTGTACAACGACACCACGCGTATTGAGAAGATTCTCATCGGCCATAACCTCGAGTACGTCCCGCTGGAAGGCAACATCTTGTACCGGTGTCCTGTCCGCTTCTCCAGCTGGGGAGCCACCATGTTTGTGAATGAAGGGGACCTGGACATCCGGATCGGTCAGGTGCTGTCCAGTCCCCAGGCAAACGGTGTACTACACAAGGTCGAACAAGTCCTAAAGACAGGTAAGAACATTCTATGTACAGCAATGATCCCATCACTTTTTGGACAGGATTTGTACACATCCATCGAATTTTAGTCCCAAATCAATACATTCGCGGTGCCAACTAAGGCTTGCCTTGTGTTTCTACTACAGACAGTTACACCGTGATAGTGGCGCACCCTGCTACTCTGGAGGACATGTTGGATTACAGTGACTTCAGCCAGGAGGTTCAGCTGGAGATGGCTGTGGACATGAAGAGGAACGAGGGAGCTCCTGAACTGTCTGAGGTGGAAAGGGTGCTGGGTGGAAACGGGACACTCAATGGAAGCACTGTTCGTGTCATCACGGAAGGTGCGTGAATGATGTTGATGGTCTGTGGGCTAAAATATTGTTTTTCCTCGTGCTTCTTCTCCTCCTTCTCCTTCCACTTCCTCGGTTGGGTTAAGGCAGCCTATGGCCAACTATGATTAGTATTTCATACATATGGCTGTAACTTTTGATAGCTTGGTCGCACCACAACTTAACTTCACACAGTTCTAGTAGTACTTGAAACACATTGAATAAAGGTTATTTTGTTTTTACTACTTCTGAATTTTTGGGTTAAAAATCAACATTTTTGTTAAAAAAAATTTTTGTCCAAGGCTATTTTGTTTTAAATGACAATTACATTGTTTTTTTGGGCCAAGAACGACAGAAACAGCTATTTTTCTGTCATTTTTCGTTACAAAATCGCCACAGTTAAAAAATTTCGTCTTATATGCAAAATAGCCTCGGACAATTTTGATTAAAAAGTGATAATACGTAAACATGGATTACTCTAAAGATGGATTATGTTGTTTTCAGCTGCGCGTAAAGCCGTTTAAGTCATACTCCGTGAATAAAATGCGTAACAACGCGGGTTTACAGGGGAAACATACAAATGACCGCCGGTAACCCCGAATTCGAACACGCGTTCTATTCGAATGACGTCATATCGAACATGGTGGAACATGATTCGGGTTCGAAACATGTATGTGGCCATCCGTGCAGACACACGTCTGAACTCGAACATGAATATCAGCCTAGGCCGCCTTAACCCAACCGAGTCCTTCTTCCTGTCATTTCTTCATTTTTGAACCATATGACTTGGAATGCTTTGAAATTTCGCGTGGATTCTGTAAAAAAATACGAAAATTTGTACTACTGACGGTGTGATACTTGAAAGCACTACATAGGGATTCTGATAACACTCTTACTGAAAAACACTATGGAGGTTTACAGCACTACATGGGAATTTTTGAAAAATCTAATATTAAAAAAGCACTACAGAAGGTCTTTGCGTTACTGTCAAGGGAGTTTCGAGGATATTTTATTAAAAATACAGTATGGGGGTTTCGTGAACGACTGTTACTAAAATGCATTGTATGGGTATTTTAGGAAACATTGTGGTATGGGAACACTTGATGTTAGAAGCACTACGTAGAATTTAAAATGAAACAGTCTATTATGAAATGAGAATATGGATTGAAATATGATATATGTGCCCCAAGCAAATATCTGCCTTTCAGTATGTTTTGGGAGAGAAATGTAAAAAAAAAAGATATCATTTGCAAATGTTATCTCTTTACATACTTTAAAATACATTTTACTGAGTACAATGCCGAATGCGGTGTCAAAAGTAAAATTTGCATAATGTCATTCGAACCTACCATTATTGTTTTTGAATCAACTTTGCAGATGCCCCAGTCTACAAGTGTATTGGATCCCGGGCTATGAATGAAGGAGAGGGCAGCTACCATCTGCTGATGAGAGATCTCCCTGCCAACCTGTCAGTTGGTGACGTCATTGTCAGTAACCATAGCAACGGGATACTGGAGCAGGTTATCCAACAGACAACAACACCTTACGGAGTCTTCATTCAAACTCTGCTGCAGAATTGCTTCACAACTTTCAAGTAAGTCAAGGGATATAGGAAAGAAGTAAGTGAGTAAAAGTTTTTTTTTCTTATTTCGGTTGGCAATGTGAATGTAGATTTAATGGATTTTTTTTTCATCTTAGCTTCCGAGAGGACCTGAAAACAACGTACGGAGTAACCCTCCCTGCTTCCCTGCCGTGTTCGGGCGGACCGGAGGGCGCACACGGGCTGCTCATCGTGGACTCTGCGGGAAGAGAAGTGGACCTGGAGACTGGTGACGTGGTGGTGGGGAGAAGGAGTGGCAGGCTGCTGGCAAAGGTAGAAACATGCTTTATATGGTTACCATTATAGACTGAGATGTCATTTCAAGAAGCAATTGGCGCGTTTGAATTGTAAAATCACCTTACATTTCCCAAAATTTCCATTATGGTAAACTAATCAATGTTGAAAAATCTTTTAGGTTCTGAATATCACTCCTATGGCTGACTACACTTTAGTAGAAGTTGAGCCTATCCTGAGCAGGTCCACCATGGCCGTGCCGTTAAGAAGAAGACGACGAGAGGGTGTTACTGCATCTCCACCCAGGCGTAGTTTAGACGTCGTCATAGGAGACCAATTCTCGGTAGGACTGTTTTCAAAACTATTATTTACAGGGATTTTTTTATTGTCAAACTCAGTATCATGCTTTGAAATTTGCTTGTAACTTTGAAGAACAAAATATCAGTCGGATAAAATGGTATTAGACGCAAAGTCTTCATAGCACACAAAGACTACAGATTTGAAGGTTATAAGTACCTTGTGAGATGTCTAGCATCATTGAACACAAAGACTGCTGAACCCAATGTTATTCCTACTTTGTGAGATGTCTAGCATCATTGAATAATTATAATGATTAATAACTATGGAACATCCGCATCCAACTTACAAACAGGGACATGGGATAAGAAAAAACTAATATTGCTTTTATAATACGATAGTTTGTGTCTAATCACAATGTAATGTAATATATTTTACAGTACGCCACCGATAGTTATAATATCGAACTATCAACGAGTGCCAAATTCACAGCTGGAATCAAGATCTCGCTTGCAGTGTCGACGTCGGAATTTCGAACACCTACGCTTATCAGCGCCAAAGCTTCCTTTATTGATGGACGGCTAGAAGTAGGACTGGAGGGCTCTCTAGACATTTCGGAGAGGTAAGTTGGCCCAAGAAGGCATTTCAATTTGTACATTTTAAATGACACTTCACCATCGCAATAAACAGTATGACCATGCAGTTAATGGTCCTGTACCAGTGCATATATCTGAAATACAGTATTGCTTACGAAATTAGTTCTCTCTGAGTAAGAAAACTGTTTTTTTAATACTCCTCGAATGCACATCCGTGTAATATATGCGTTTCAACCCCTTAGTACAAGGGCCAGAAGTGGATTCAGGAAGGAACTGTATCCTATCCATGTCTCTCTGTGTGTAAGCAGTACACTGTGTATACCGGCTAAGATATGGGCGAACATTGACACATCGTATGAAATCTACGCTGAGGTAGGTTGAATTTAATTCATAATTGCAAAACAGAAACGAACAGAATCTTATTATGGCATTAGAACATAATTTTTATGCTTAGCTTGGGTACAGAAGGTTTTTTAAATTTTCTAAAACAGAAATATGTAGAAACCGTTTCCTAATATTTATGCTTTTAGAACTAGGCGGTGTGGTTTTGTTAAGAAAGTGCGTGCCTTTAGCTTTGATAGACACTTTTCTAAAAACAATCAATCAATCAATCAATCAATCACTTACATCATTTCTGTTCTGTATTTCTGTGCGATAAAGATATTGTTTTTTGTGTATGTAGGGTGATTAAAATCTATTCTTTTATCAATCTATACATCAGGGTCCAGGCAGTATCCAAATGTCCTCTACCGTGGTGAAACCAAACATTGACGGTGGAGGAAGCTGGCAACCACAAGAAGGAGCCCAGTGGTTCTCGTTTGACCTGAATGAGGAATCCGTGAGTGTTTAATGAAATTCAATATTATCATAACAATACACCTCTGCCAGCAATTTATACCAAAGCCTTGGACTTACTAAAACTTATCAATATGTAGAATGTTTTTATTTATATTACAAATACATATTGCAATCTTCTTCTAAAACCGTTATAGTGTCCAATGTCTCTAAGTAAACAAATTTGGTTCCCCTATCTCTACTAAAGGGTAGTGCAAATATCGTGATATCGTCCTATTCGGGAACTTCGACCGAAAAAGACCATCTCAACGTGTTGGAGCTAAAAGTCAAACCGACGTTCTTCATCGAGTTTCCCACATCTGGAGAAAGTGAAGTTGAGGGGTTCACGATACCAATAGGTACGCCCGTTTCTTAACATATCACTACTATTACGTATCACATATCTATTCACATATCTATTCACTTATACCAATGGCTGTGAATCATAAAAAAGTCTATTTTACGACCGTCGCACAAGAAACAATACAAGGCATTGGAATTGAACATAGTACAAAGGTACCTACCATCTCCTCCACATTAATATTTGCTAACATTGTAGTTATCTTGAAAGTTCATCTGTGTTGGTAGAAGTCATTATGACTGTACAACTCCAGTCTTTGTCAAGGAATGAAACAATCCACCGCTTCCGTGACGTCACGCAGATAACACAAGTGACTTCGTGAGCAGTGGGTCATAGGTTGCAGAAAGTCTGTGGCGCCCCCCGTCTCTGTTGAGGGATGGTTGTAATGCCCTGATGTAGATGGCCTCTGTATAGTTGCAGTTGTGTAAACTTTGCTGAGGCAATATTCTATCTCTTTGTCCAGATGTAACTAATCAAGGGGACACATTTGGGTACAGTATCACCACCTCCATTCAGTCACAAGCGCTCCTGCGTGTGTCAGCCCAATCCTGTTCTACTGAGTGCCCGTATTCAGACAGACCACAGTACGTTGGGGTCACGTCATCGTTGGACTACCTAAAGGGGGCGTTCAACGTAATAGTTGGAAACGACGATTACTATGAAGACCAACTATGGAGACGTGAAGAGTGGATGGACTTTGACAGGTTAGAACCCCCCCCCCCTTGACTGTTTGACACAGACTGTCTCTATTCAGTATAAATTAAAACTGTTAAAATTAAAATTTTCGGCAAGCGACACTCATGACATGGGTGCATTACGAGAGTCAAGAATTACTAAGGCATTATATATTTGTTTTCGGGACAACATACTAGAGATTTGTCTACTCACTACTTGTGTGTGCAGAATTCTAAACAACAATTCTACACTTTAATTGTCATATAAATTACCAAATAGCAAACGGCATGTTATATCTATTAATCCGATAATATTCTATATTACAGAGATTGTAGACCACATCCGTCAAGTATTGATACCTGTAGGGACAGCATGTGTGTATGTGGTGAAGCAACAGGAATACAACAGCCTACGAACGAGAGCTTCTGCATGTGTCCTTGTAACTGTTCAAGTGGAGACCAAAGCTTCACGGTAATAGTGACCTTCCGTATGTGTAATAATGATTGCCATACAAAGTTATTCACATACGAATAATGATTCAATTTTTATCATTAAAGATACATAAACACTTCGCCCTACACTGCTACAATCATAAGTCGTAAGAAATGATGTATTACACACAATTTCTGTTATTTCTTAAAAACAGCATCCAGATACTGACGGATGTAACTGTGAGTTGTGTCCCGATGGAGACTTTAAAACAGTAAACAGTCAGGGACATCTACACTGCCCATGTCTGTGTCCTGACAACAGCACATCGGAACTGACCAGCGATGGAACATGTGACGTAAGTTTTTGTAATGTTACACATCATCAAAACATTCGCGACTCGCACACAACTTTGACAAAACATTTACAATGTTAATTTGGCCTCCGCATGTATTGTAATAAAACCAAACTGTAATTAATTCGTACAGAACAGCCACATGAGACATGGCGTTACATGTATATGTGATTGATAACAAAACACGTGAAGTTGGGCACTTCTCATCAGTACCGCTTTGACACTTGTAGAAGGTCTAGAACCAAGAGCATCTAAAGTACAGCAAAATGGTACTGTAAGCCATTCCCCAGCTACTGTCAGCTTTTATTAAATATATTAGAATATCAAATTCCCTCTCCAACTCGCTGTGGTGCACGGTCGCCACTAATTCTCAGCAGAACTGCAACCGAGGGTGCTTGTTTCGTAAGGTGGATGCTGATTGGCCCAATGAAATGAATTGACCAATCAGGGTAGATGTATGTTTGCCTTGCGAGTGCCAAATGTCGCTTATGTCCTATTAGTTTATGGGAAATCCTAACCTACGTATAGTACCAAATATACATGCACTACATCCCGAGATATCATACACATGTATCCTGCTGCAGTACCGTAAAAAGCACTTGGTATTGACAACATTTTCAAAGGATATACTAATGTAAAATCGCCTGGGCAGATTGGCATTAAATGTTGCAACAAATTGTCATATGCTCTTTGGATAGTGTAGCGCAACAAAGTATGGCATCTACTAACTCAAGTAAGTACACATCAACTACATTTACATAAGGCTAGCAATGTGGTGCCGATCATTCAAAATCCAATTGATGGATGGAACCCCCCCCCCCGAAACACAGCAAAGGATCGGCGTTAATTTTTCAGCTTGTGTGGCGGATCACTAATACGTCCATTTTCACTGTTACAGAGAGAAATGGGGGAAATAATGCAATTATACTGCAGAGAATTGTTAAATTTAAACTATACCCAAGACGATTTATGACCTTTAAGACAGTTTATAACAGTTGATGACACTTATTATATTAAAGCCGTTTTACACATTACCTTAAGGCTTCCGCGGCTGTTTGTGTGGATTAATATGGAACCTAGGCTTATTTCAACTATGGCAATACAGTACTGACTTTCCTTTCATGTTGCCTTTACAGTGTTCCTGCACCTGCCCAGATGGTAGCAGGGATGTGGTGCTGAGTGACGGCAGCTGTCCGTGTAAGTGCACCTGTAACAACTGCCACGAGTCGGTTCTGGGTCCTCATGGCTGCATCTGTTCTGACAGGTGAAGTACCGAGTATTGCGTGCATGACGTGAGTAAATGTACAGTGGTCGGGCCAGTGAGTATTGCATAGTGGTATCCTTTCTAATTTGCCTTTATGATCCTCCCACAGCTGTCCTGACTGTGAGAATGATGAGGAACCCGAGTGGCAAGACTGTGTGTGTAAGTGTCCACAGAAGACAGAGTGCGGGATCCCACCTACATGTGTGGTGGGGAGGATGGGGCCGGACTGTAGACAGCCAGACTGCAGGCCGTGCCAAGGTATAATTACTCAATTTGCCAATAGCACTGACCATTGGTTTGATGCAAATAAAAAGTAAGATTTTATCTACGATTCTTGTAAGATGTTAAATGGTTACATGTTTGCTTGATTGATGATCATGCTCTGTCTGCTATTTATAGAACACACCACTGTAGGTACAGAGTCAGAGACTGAAGAAAGAATCAGTACTTCCTGAATTGACAAGGGTAATGCTTGACTATCGTGCTGTTTAACCTTTACAGGATGCTCAGGGAACGGCCGGTGCATCACATCAACACACAGCTGCCAGTCATCCTGTGTCTGTTCGCCTCAGTGGTTCGGTGACTGTTGTGAGCTGCGCCGTCCTCGTCCTATTGGAGGAGACCCTCATTTCAAGACATTAGATGGTAGTAATTTTCCTTTTTCTCCTCGTTTACATGAGGTGATATGTCAATCTACGTTATATATCTTGCATTGCGCATGCAAAATGATTTTTTTACGTCACAGAATGCATAAGCAATACCTGAATCGACCATTGTGTACATGGTACATGACCAGCCTCAAAAAATATATTATGCACAATATATTACCCACGCCTTCTAACATAATTTGACACTGTTGGACTATTGGTCATAATCTAAACGCTTCTTTTCTATAATTCCAATAACCGTTTTCCTGTTAGGAAAGCCATACGACTACCATGGTATCGGTGAGTTCTGGGACTGTAAGAGCGTGTCGAATGACTTCGGCGTACAGACCCGGATGTACGCGTATGAAAGGGCTTCTCTGATTGGTGGAGTTGCAGTGAAGGCTGGGCACAGCGTTGTCACTCTGATGACATCATCAAATGCAACAGAAAAGGACGTCCCCAATATCAGGTAAGCAGTTCCATGTACACGTATCAGACTAGTAACTAGTATGTTTGAATTCTGATGGTCGCACCATACCGACAAATGAAATCCGTTGTTGAATTTAAATATCGTTTTTGTCATTTGTCCTTTTCAGGATCGACGGTGAACTGTGTCAACTATCTGTCGGAGAGAAGTATCTCCTAAACAATGGGACAATACATCTGCTGGCTCAGCAACCTTCTACAAACGCTACGGAGTCAGGGGCCGTTATCACCGTGTCCCTTACCTTTGCATCAGGTAAAGTGAACATATTTTCTTTTTTCCATAGTCCACCCAATGCTGATTTCCTTGATGACGATCAGCTCAATAATTATGACGAATTGTTCTTTCAAACAACCAGGATCAACTGTGTCCTTTGACATCCGGTACTCACCAAAGATGGGCCGCCAGTTTGTCAACATTTTGTTCAGCCCCACTGCGATGTTCAAGGGCAACACGGAGGGACTGTGTGGGCTCATGGATGACGACGATGCCAATGACTTCACTGGTCCGGACGGCGCTGTGCACAATGACACTTCTGTATTTGCTGAAACCTGTAAGTGATATGTCACAGATGAGACATGATATCCTTGAATTCTTTAGAAGAAATGTGAATTTTAGGTTCTAAGGGTACCATTGAAACAACAAGGCGAAGACAAAAAGGATGACTCTGAATCCCGTTATCGAACACGTTCACACGGCCGCGCTCAAAACCGCTGGGTCAACAGGTCCTTGGCCCATTAGGCTGGGCATTTGGTGAGGCTTATATAATCACTTGGTACGCTTCTCCATCTCTTTTCAAGATTTATATATATATAATAAGATTTCAAGTTAATTCTCCCTGTGCGGCAATTCCGTGCCACATCTCACATAGCCATTCCAGACACCATCATAACACGACAGAAAGGTGAAAGACGTCAGTTGACTCCTGGCTCCCGGGTATCGTAAACGTGTCAGCTCACAGCCGAAAAAAAATGCCCAGGACTCTTTCGTTTGTCTGTACTGAAAATTGGCTTATTGTTTTGAATATACACATGAATAATACTGTTCACTTACCAGGTCTGAACGTCACTTTTTGATTTTCCAGGGCGGATAAATAAAACCCACCACGGCTCTGGTCTGATGGGGTCCTGGTCATGGAACTCTTCTAACTTCCATCCTGATGACGTCATGGACCCTGCCTATTCTGACCCGAACCACCGCCCTTCTGTCGGCATAGATGGACTGACTCAGGAGGAAAAGGAAGTAAGTTATTGGTCTCGGGATGGCGTCTACTAGCAATACGTCAACATTTTTATCTTTTGCGAGAAAGTTGAGAACCTTTACACTGAAAGGCAGTATGCCCTCCCTTGCGTTAAATTACCACTCTTATATTGGTATAAACGCATACATTATGGGTTGGGGAGGACACCAGACAAAATACACACGTTTTCTTGTTCCTTTTGTTTCTTCCAGAAAGCTGAAGAAATGTGCATCGCTCTCGGGTTGACCGGAACCCTTCTAAATGAATGCATCTTTGATGTGTCAATCACCAACGACACAACCTTTACTGAGCAGGAGGTCTTTAAAGGTATATCCGTGCATTTCAAAATTGTTAACAGTAAATTTGTGGTATTCTATGTCATTTTTAATGTTAAAGTATTACCGTAAGAGCTTGATGCTCCTTTAAATGTAACTTTTAAAGCATTTACACTGTGTTGCACAAAATTCCCATTGCAGGTTGCCCAAACCAGTGTTCCGGTAGGGGTCGCTGTGTAAACGGAAGCTGTGACTGTATAACGGGCTGGTCTGGTGAAGACTGTAACGTTGGAAACTGCACAGACTGCTCCGAGGATCACGGGAGATGTGAGCTGGGATTCTGTAGGTGCGAGCCAGGATGGGAGGGAGCAGCCTGTGATCAACCAGGTACGATGCTATCGGATTACCCTTGGGAATCGGGATGATGCTAATCATATTGCTTTGTGTCTGTACAATATCATTAGTTCTTACGAACGGTCGCTGCTGGTGTACAATATATATATTTGGCAACGTTCACAATTAGAATATTTGGTCCAAAACACAAGCCCGTATGACTGAGATCAGTACAGTTAACTTATTATAGCCCTTCTTTACCTCTAAAGAAGATGACTGAAGAAGACATAGGTCTAGAGGGTTATGAAGTGTCCTCGGTAATACGAGACAGTAACTTTGGAGACGTTGCGTGATTAACTGAACTCAACTATTTATGCAAGTTACACAATGTCACCACTTTCATTTTACTAACAGTGAGCTTACTCACATCCTCCTGCTGGCATTAACTCTTGTCAGTGCATTTCTCAAAGTGATGACAAAAAATTTTTGATTTCTTCTATCATGTAGCGACATGCTATGCTGTACAAAACTGCACCAGCGTTATTCACGGGATTTGCATAACCACAGATGTCTGCAGGTGTGAACCAGGGTACATCGGTAAGACAAAAAATTATAACGTCTTGATATATATGCATCTAGATTTCCGTACGTAAACTTGATATTATATTATATTATATTATATTATATTATATTATATTATATTATACCCAGAACGTCTGTATAAAAGAAAGAATTGTCGTTCGTTACATTTAATCATCAACATCTACACCACCCAGGTGCTGACTGCAGTAAGGTTCCCACGTGCGGAAATGTTGCTAACTGCACAGACCACGGAGTGTGTGTGGACTACGACACCTGTTTGTGTGATGAGCAGTGGACAGGTGACAAGTGTGACCAGTTCTCGTGTCAGGCATTGGATTACTGCTCCGGTAAGTCCTTATCCTATATTTTTTCCACATTATCATGTAACACAAAAGACATAAACATTGTTTACTGATGGATGTACTAAACCGTTCTTATGTGTGTGTTTTGTCTGCACTAGTACCAAGTTATTTGAGTCATATGAGATTGGATTTTACATGTTGTAGTGCAGGTTCCAAAACATTGTCTAATGAAGGGTTAATGCCCCGTCCCGAGAAAAAAAGTGCTCATTTTCTTTTTGAACTTTGACCTGATGAAATTCGAACAAAACTTGTTCCCTATGAAGTCATCGGCGGCCATATTGGTCGACGCTGTTTGGTTCCGGTGTTTATGGGATTTAATGACCGCTGGGTGTGTAATGGTGTTATAACCAATAGCAATAAATGGAGACCTCTGATTGGTCAACGCTATCTGGCTATATGATAATACTCAATACAATCGTGGGACTTCTATATCTGAAAGTTACCAGTTTATAACATACAGCATGTAACCTTTTTCATTACTATAGTAAAGTAAGCATATATTTGCCATGCAGGACACGGCCGCTGTGTGGACATTGATGTCTGCTACTGTGAGCAGGGCTGGACCGGCAGCTCCTGTGTCACACCGGACTGTCCTGAAGTTAACCAGTGTTCCCGCCAAGGAGACTGTGTTGGTCCGAACACCTGCCAGTGTTACAACGGGTATCAGGGTCTAAACTGCAGCGAAGCCCAGAGTTGTCCCGAGTTGCAAGAATGCAATGAAAATGGGGTTTGCTTCAACAATTCGTACGGGCGAAATGAATGTCGGTAGGTCTTTTTGATTATTTAATCTGTTCTTAGAAATAACAAGTTATGATAGCATTTTCAGCATTCTCCTTCATTAAATTCGTCTCCCCCTTAGTTATCATTTCTTCTTTTGCATTTATGCTGCAGCTGCTATCCAGGATTCATCGGCACAAGTTGCGATCACCCAGACTGTACTAAACAGAATAACTGTACTAACCACGGCAGCTGCATAGAGCCTAACCTGTGTCAGTGTGACAGTGGGTACACCGGGAACGACTGTGCCAACTTCTCTTGTGAAGCACTGCAGTATTGTTCTGGTAAGTATCGACGGTCTGCTACAGCCTACAGTGTGTCAATGCACTACAAATGACCATAATCTTAACGATACTGAGACTTTTAAGATTTAATTAGGATATAATGGTGTATCTAATTATCACGAATTGCATCCATTGATACAGGCCACGGAAACTGTGTGAACTTCGATACATGTAGCTGCGATCCTGGCTGGTCAGGTGGTTCCTGTAACATTGCAAACTGCAGCAGCAAGGGTGATTGCTCGCGCTCTAGCCAAGGCACGTGTGTTGCTCCAGACACGTGCGCATGCCTCCCTGGGTTCCAAGGACAAGACTGCAGTGAAGAGATGACGCCCAATGAACACCCACCAGTATTCCAGAAGGACAAATATGATATCATGATTCCAGAAAACCAGCCCATTGGCTCACCGATTCTTACAGTTTTTGCAAACGATTCTGACAGTGGACGTAACGGTGAGGTCAGGTACAGGCTTGCCCACACAGGTTTGGACAGTGAAAACTTTGCAGTCCATTCGACTTTGGGGATCTTAACTTCAGTCGTGGAGTTTGACCTTGAATCTTTGGAGCACAATTGGTTCAATCTCATCGTCGAAGCATTTGATCAAGGGATGCCGACGCTTACTGGTACAGCCACGATAACGATAAACATAACGGACCAGAATGACAACAAACCTGTCATCAGCATCCCCCCTGAAACCGAGTACAACCTTCAATCCATCTCTCCTGTCGGCTTCCCTGTGACTACTGTACAGGCCTCTGATGCTGACAGGTCCGACGATAACTCCAAAATCACCTACGGAATCACAAGTGTCAGTCCCTTTGTTTCCATCGATGCCACAAACGGCAGTGTTACCGTTAGCAGTGCATTGGAAAGTGGCACGTACGTGGTTAGGGTCAAGGCGTCAGATAATGGTTTACCGCCCAAAACAGACGAAGTCACTCTCCGTCTTATCGTGACCGAAGTAAGCACAAACACAGCTCCACAGTGCCCAGACGATCAATTTATTGAGATAGATTCTGGCAATGTTACAACAGGATCGACAATAACAACCATAGAAGCAGAAGATCACGACAACGGTCCAGACGGTGACGTTTCCTACAGTTTCAAGTCCAAAAGAGGAGAACTGGCAAGTCTGTTCGGCATTGACCCGTCATTAGGTATAATCTACGTTGGAACTGAGGTGACACTGGTAAACAACACTTTCTCAGCTGTCTCACTGACAGTTGAAGCCAGAGATAACGCTGTCGAGTCCATGTCCTGTGAAACGAACGTCATTGTAATAATAACTTCCCCGGAGTTTAATGGAACTGTGCCAGATAACCTGTTCCCCCCAACCACAGCTAAGCCACAGACGACACCGTTCGATAGATCTACCGCCCTCCCTACAACTTATGGTAACAGCACCGCAGCAGTAGTCGAAGGTAAGGGAGTATTTGTTTAAAGAAATATATAGATATGCTCTACGAAGCAAAAACAAACAACATAAAACCAGTGTGGCATGGCAAAACATCTTCTATTATTTTACTGTCATATACTAGTACATAGGGGTGAACAATGATAGAAATGTAAGTAATGTTGATGAGTGCATTTGTATCAAGATAGACTGGTATTTAACCTCTGATGCAAATTTTAACCACTGGAAGGTAGGGGTTCAGCAGGTCGATTCTGAAGAAATTGGAAAATCTTTAACAATAAGCATGCATATCATCCGATACAATTTTGCTAATGTGATGAATGCATCAATTTAAAAAATAATTTGGTGATATATGTCATCAGGTAGGATATATCACTACCACTGGAAGTTGCTTGATGATGTGTATAATTGGTTAATTATAATATAGGGTTGTAGCATTTGCACGATTGATCATTTTATATTTAATTTACCATCTATACATAACAGATCACATAAACGCACGTGCATACACATTAAGTAATGAATGCAGGGAAGTAAGACATTCACCTAAAATGATAGAAACATTAAATAGATCGTTTTTATTCTTTACAGCATTGTACGATGACACTTTATACATCGGAATCATCTGTGTTGGCGCAGCAGTCGCCTTTACAGCTACTGTGGTACTGGTGATTTGTTGTCTTGCAAAGGTAAGGAAACAGCCATAGAACTAGAGTTCCACGATCTCATACCTTCGCCAAAAAAAATTAGCCTTTATGACTCGGAAATTGTAAATTAATCCCCCTAATTATGCAAATAGGATCCTAAATTGCATGAATTATATCTGTTAATCATATTCTATACCAAAGGACAGTCTTATCTTAACGAAGAATGCCATTCTAGCATTTTCTAACAAATTATTTAATGTTGTCGTTATTTTAAGAGGTTATGTTCTTATCACTTGTAACATTTTTTCAATAATTATGCATAATAGATATCTGCCTGTGTTTCTCTCGTTCTAATTTACATATGTCACAAGCTTGACTGATCCTATCATGGAATGCAGCTGATTTATAGGATTTCCTCATAAATTATACACATTACATCCATATTTACATAATTGTATTATCATTATGTCAAGCATCAATTAAGCTACCTACATACCAACTATAACGATCAATCGGTTCTTAAGTTATCCTCCTTTAAATATTTTAAACAAACGACCCTGCAGTTTTAGAGCAAGCAGCTAGTGTCAAACTAATGACACGTCATCCCCAGCACGAGATCAACCTACCATCTAAATTTCGTGACCCTAGCATATTCGGATCATGAGGTATAAAAACAAATGAAGTTCCGCTGCAGTACCATCAGAACATGCAGGAACCTAAACTTAAACTCCTGAACTTGAATCCGGACCTGAACCCAAACATGGGTTCAGGTACACAGCACTACTTGTAAATAAACTAATCTAATGCGAAGCTAGACTTAAAGAAATACAATAGTAAGCTGATAATTGTACCTACTCACGTCATCAAACAATGAACCACACATGTAATCCTTAACCATCCTTAACACAAATCATTGATCATAACAATAATCATAATGATTCAAATCATAAATCATTAATCATATCAATAATTATAACAATGATTCAAATCATAATAAGTCATTAATCAAAACAATAATCATAACGATAAATTGAATCATAAGAAAAAATTGATCATGACAATAATCATAACACTTACTAAAATTATTTAAAAAAATAATAATAATAATAACCACAGCCATAATTCAAACCATAACAGATCGTTATTCACAGCAATAATCATAACAATATTTCTAATCATAACGTTGATGATGAAAGGAAAACATCCAAGAACATAAAATACCTCATTTGCCACGATGCTTCTGCAGATTTTCAATTCTTGTAGCTAATGAATATTCTACCGTATGAAAGAAGTTTACATAATTAAGAAAAGATTAAAAAGTAACATTGTTGGCCTATCTGCTTATATGTTTGCATTTTTTAGCTATTAGAATTACAAAACAAGCGTTCCACGATCTCATACCTTCGCCAAATAAAGTTAACCATTTAGAAGTGACGAAATTATAATTATTGGTTATAAAAATACGGTCCTCATTTCATTTCCATCAGGAGTCGTATCAATTAATAATAAAAATCATTCTCCACCTAATGACAGCCTTATCGTAAAAAAGACGGCTAGTCTAGCACTTCCTCATAACTAATGCAAAGGAGTTATGATTTGGATACATTTTTAACATTAGTGTCACCATCACTTAACATTTAAAAGTGCCTGGCAGTTACTACTATAAAATTACAGCAATGTGCCATTCATTATGCAAATAATGCCATTTCCATAATCTGTATATTCTAATGTACTTCTCATTTCCAATTACATGTTACAAGTGTTCCGTAAGCCTATTATGGAATACAGCAGATTTTTAGAACTCCTAAATAATCATGCAAATTCGCTCCTGATTTACATAATTATCATCTAATTCTTATGCCAAGCATCACTTACGCTACCTACATACTAAACATCATGACAATCCGTAAACTGTTTTTTGAATTATCCTCCTTCGAAGATTTCTAAACAACACAACTGCTAGGAGGCCCAAACTAATATTAATTCTTCCCTAGCCAAAGAGTTATCTATCATCTAACATTCGTAACCCTAGGATGTCTAGATCATGAGATATCAAAACCGGAAGTTCTGCTGCAGTACCTAGGAAAGCTGCCATGGGGCTAAGAATCTAATCATTTCTAGGTCTCACTAAGACCTACCCTCCCAACGTTTCATATCAATCCATCTTAAGGTTCTTGAGTTATTGTGCTAAAGCACATATATACATACATTCATACACATGGATGCTATAGAAAACATAACCTTCTTGACGAAGGTAATTACCTATAACAGAGGCTTCTGAATTTAAGTTACCAACGATAATTAAAGAAATTAAGCTGTAGTTTTGGTCCTGTCTGCTGATTAACCCTAAACAGTACACCTGGGGTCCGCGCGGACCCCAGCACTATATATTCTGTAATATCTTTTTTGTTTCTAAAGATTTTTTTCTGAAATTTTAGGTAATTGTCACCCACAAAGTTGTCTCTCAATACAGTGCAGAAAACTCCGTTTCTACCATTTATAAAAAAATTATATCTGATTTTCTTTTGGGGTCCGCGCGGACCCCAGCTGGCTTTCGATCGTGATGGATACACTGGCGTTCTTATACATTACCTTATTTCCGTTTTTATATGTTTTTATGCGCTCATCGTATGTCTACCAAGTTTTCAGAGAATGGTGTAGTAATAGAATTAAATTTTAATAACTTTGGTGTAATAATGACGTCATATGATGTCAGAGCTAATAATATAGTCCGCCATATTGGATTTTGACAAATGACGTCATCAAATTAGCATATTCTATGCATATTAAATGATTTAACTTATATTTGATTATGTAAGATGTTATTAATGTTGGAAAAGAAGTGTAATTTAATATAAAACTCAGAAAAATTTTATGTTTAAACCAAAATTACTTCTATTTTCAAAAAAACTGCCCGTTGCCATGGCAACACAAAAAAACATCAACTTACTAGTATTAAACTAATATGAACTTTTTTCCAGAGACATTTTAGGAAAGGTCTCCAAATTTGATACTTCTAGCGCAAGCCGTTTAGCCGCTATCTGAGATCAAAGTTGGGCCTCAAAAGCCCCTTCAGTCTGAAATGGGTTTAAAAATCGGGTATTTCTTCTTGTCTTCTTTTCTTCACCAAAAAATAGAAAAAGTTCAAAATGTATGATTTTTGTATGTAATGTGGACACAGAGGTTCCCACATCAGTTTGCAAAACAATTGAGCTGGAAGCATGTTGATAATTTCTAAAAATCAGCAAAAAACTGCTCTGGGGTCCGCGCGGACCCCAGGTGTACAGATTAATCAGTCCGGGAAGGTGTTCTGTTGAGGGTTAAACCAAACTTGAATTCTATCCCAGAAAAAAAAAAAAACTAAATGCAGACACTCCAAAAAGACATGCTGCTGGAAGGTTAACAAAATGGCAAAATGGACAGATGATACAATAACCTAGTTGTTGGTAAAAATTAATATGAACAATTTTATGAGTCATATTTTTCTCTCATAAATTTTGAAGAAAGATTTACTTGGGGTAAGGACGTACTTTACTTTGGTTTGCTTTGGTCCCGAAAGCATACGACATCTCTCTCTGTCTATCATCAGGGACCGGAGCTCCGCTACTTCATTCAGGCCGGCATCAGATTTGAGTTTTTTTTTTTTCAATTTAGCCTGAGTCTGCCACGTTTTTTGTTTTTTTTGTATGCTCCCAGAGTACGAGTTTGGAAGCTACAGTATAAGGATGTCTGACACGGTGTGCGGCTAGATTCATCTTGCGAGTTTTGATCTTCTCTGTAACTGCACGCAAATTCTAATACAGCTGTTCGTTGGGAAGTTTATGCTCCCATGAGTGTTCAGACACATACGGAGCATCTTTGTGCAGCAGCCATTAATACGCTTCTCAAGGGATTTAGTTAGCGTCCAAGCTTCACTACCATACAGCAGTATTGATTCTACTGTGGTAATGAAGAGTTTATATTTGGTTTTCTATGATAACTTGGACTTCCAGCTTTTCTTTAACTCTCTAATGCCTTTGGAAGTACACTATGAAGTGCTCGTACGCCTCTTCTGGCGTTACTGTGTCGCAGTCATACAAACTGATAAATCTAGTACGTTGTGTAATCTCATATTTTTTTTCAATAGATTCATCTAAAAGATACTCTAGTCTAAAGTAAAAAAATGTAATTGTCATGTACATTTTTCACATTTGTATTGACAATTCAACGAATAACACATTATCTAACTTTCTGACATTGACAGAGACGCGCACATCATCAGAAGTACACCTTGTCAACTGGTAATCAGCAGCCAGGCAATATGCTGGTTCCGAGAGCGATAGCCTGGCAAGAGCCAGACAGACAGACTTACCAGAACCCGGCTTTCGTCAACGATGCACAAAAAGAAATCGATGATTTCTTACCTCCAGGTTTTATTGTAGAATGATGTATGTACAAATTGTTAAGTGAAGTACGGTTCACACGTAAATGATCAATTAGGTTCCCATAGGTGTGCTTATTGCAAATCTTTAAATGTTGCGTGTCAGTGTGAAGTGTCAGACATATAAAATTTCACCTAAATGAGTGGGAGCCTATTCCCTCTGGTGTTGTACAATGATCACTATTAATAAAAACGTTTGTTTACTACACCGACTGGCGGTCACACAGCGTCATACAAGAAAGAACCGCTACTATGGTTGCTTGCCGACTTTTGTCTGCAAACTGCTCAGGAAGATGGCGCGCCCATTTGACCCAGAATCAGCTGTGTGTCATCCTGTTAGTGGATTTGCTTGAGTGTACACGAGGTGTGAAGTTTTCTGGAAAGATTTCTGCCCTCTCAATTCTGTTGGGATTTTTGTTTGGAGGTTTTGAGGGACGTATACATGGTATTACATTCAATCTTTCTATTAATATCATAGAATCATACTTCTGTTACACGAATTACACAGAACAAAGTTGCACATAACGGCTTGTTCAACTTAGTTTTTTTTTGGTTTGGTTTGTTTTTGTTTTGTTTTGTTTTTGTATCTAGTAAGTAGCCATTTTCTTGGAACTGTAAAATGAATGAATCAATCCGACCAATTTTTTAAAAGTTCAATTTTTCTTTATTTAGGGGAGTTGTTTAATTGAATACACATTCTATTGTAACTAATGCTCTGGACTCGAGATAAAGTGATATATTTTAAGCATTTCTCCTTTAATTCTAGGTAAATCAATGAATAGTATGTATGTTAATTTTAAACAGTTCGGTAAATATTGTGATGTTAACTTTATTGTTCATTTGGTATATGGTTTGTTTGAGTTATGGGATCTAGATTTTGTTTATGGGCACACATTTTAAACATGGTAATGGAAACAACTAAAACAAATTATTCATAATTGTATAATAGTTATTTGGATAAGAATATCGAATTAAAATTTTCAACTAAAATTGTGACACTAGGAAAAATATTCTCACTCAAATGTTATCCATCCAAAATGCTCTTGTAACACAGTTTAAATGTATGTTTTATATAATGCAATTGGTCCCATCTTGTTTTCTTTGTTGTTTTGTTTTGTTTCTTCAGTTCAGGTATTAAACGATATGCAAAGTTTTGCATGAAACTACCGTCTCTGAGTCATCTTCTGCATTCAAAATGGCGGTAATATATCTGTATCTGTAACACACCAGCTATATTTTTATTTAAAAAAAGCTAACAATCTATAAGCTACCTATACGATTTATTTGTCACAATCATTTAAAGAGTAAGACAAATAAAAGCCCTATGGGGAGCCTTACGTTTGTTAACCTCGCTTGAAATAAAACCAAAGTAACCCTATTGGGTATCTCTCTCCCGGGTCATGTTTACAGATGGGTTGTAGGATAGATGATGTTAAAACAGTAACAAGTCACACCAACAAACTAACCAGACCGTCGATGGAAAATATGTTTTCAAAGTACACCACGATGTTCTCATTTACTGAGCAATGTTAAAAATACTTATTCTTGGCTTCATATACATACATGTATACATCAGTAAAAACAACAAACAATATATAAAACACATTTAATTAAATCTGCACTGTTTTTTTAAGAAACGCTCCATAACCATGTATAATGATCCACACAGACGCACGGAAATACACTATTATAAACTAATTTTCTTGGCAAAGGTAAAAACACTCATTTTATAAGATACACCCGCCAGGTGGCGTCGTTGTGTCACCATTGATATTCTTCGGTATCAATTTGTATGATTGTTCAAAATCCTGAACTGTCTTTGCGGACTGAGTACATATAGTGCGTTGCAAAGTGTATTATGGACAGTTCACCATGAGTATTGTTTTTAGGTACTGGGTTTATTGTCTTAGAGTGTATGAGTCCCCGGTTATCTTTCAGTGGAACAAGTACACGGTTTGTTTACAAGTCAGGGGCGGTTTCAACAAAGACCCGGTCACTCTCCGCCTGAGCACACAAGTGTCATGCGCAGTTCGTCATCGGAATTTTTGTTCCTCAGACTGGGTGCCAGAGACGGTTCTACCGAGCTTGTGTCAACATTTCAGGTGTTTTGACCAGCGAACAGGCAGACACGAAAACACTACCATGGAATCTTTTGTGACCGTATGCACCCTCGTCCTAATTGTGCAACATTTACCACCAGGTAAGACTTAATTTTAGGAATTGGGACGTTAAGATTGAGGTAACCGACACGGTGGTTCTGATCGGTACGTAGGCAGAATTTCGTTAGTTGCCGCATAACGCTTGCTTGTACAGTTTAGATGTTGATTCAGCATTGCAAAAATTGCTACGTGGCTCTTAGTGGCTGTCATTAACATATACTAGCGCTCATTTCGACCGAGTAAAGTATGTTTTGTTCATATGTTCATACCCTAATCTGCCGTGTTGTTCTGTACCCATTCTACATTGAATAATTCATGCTCCGCCATATTAGAACAAATGCATAGCATTCCATTCGGTATTTCTACATTTCTCTTAAATAAGTAGTATGTAGCTTTAATGATATTGGAATATCAATATCGACCTTAATTTATCCATATACTTGAATCTAATTTCATATGTTATCACTACTTGTTCTAGTTCACATGACTTGTGAAATACTGTTCACAAGTAGCTGTAGCCTTCTTGTATTACTAAAGATACCTGCCATGTGTGACTTTAGTTAACGATGTTAACCTTAGTTAAAGATCTTTAAGTTTATTATAAACAATCTTTTACCTGCTAATGTCTATATCTTGATTTTTTGAAAGGCCTATTCATGACCAACTTATTTCAATGCCTAATACGCTCTCTTGAATTTCACAATAGGCGAAAGTACGACATGGTCGTGCGACTTTGAGACTAGTGACCATTGTGGGTACACCCAGGACACCACAGATGACCTGAACTGGACCCGTCATTTCGGACAAACACCAACAGCTAATACTGGGCCGTCAGTGGACCATACTCTGGGCACGGGTAAGAACGTTGTTTTGTGTTATTTGTTCCCGAGTTGGATTTTTAGAGTGATTTTTTTTTATAAACATCCGGGAAGAAACTATTTTCTTTAATGTTGGGTTTGTATGTGTCATGTCCGCACATTATACAAAAATTGCTGACTGATATTGCGCCACTACACATAACAGGTGAATGGTCCGCCACATAATATTAAATGTTTAGAGGTTGAACAGTTCAGGACTTCCCTAAAGCTAACAGGAAGCCAGTAGCAAAGGGCTTCCCATGCCAGCCTTTAAATAATTCACGGACTCAATATATCCTAGTCCTGATCAAGTATGTCATCTAATATCCTCCATTCTTTCAATATAGTCACGAGAAATAATTTTTGCCGGTCTAAAATCTCTGATTTTATGTTAGTTTTAACCCTTGTCCCCGAAACAGTCATTTACTAGACGAATACCAGAATAATTATTATTGCCCTCTCTAAGAAAAACAGGTTTTTTGGTATGAACTATTGATCGATATGCAAATAAGTGAACACGAATTTTCCAAAAGAAATTTTCCAAAAGAAACAAAAGTTAGTGTGATAGTCACAGGATAATACGTCATCGTCTTTAATATGATAGTCAAGATAATGATTGCGCTGTTTCATATATGTGCGAAGATTTTTTTTCTATTTCTTGTTGACATTAGGTTATTACATGTACCTGGAGACATCAGTAGGTAATCCAGGTGACGTTGCTCGCCTTGTCTCCACGCCCCTCCCCGCCATCAGTGCTCCCTACTGCCTGAGCTTCTACTACCACATGTTCGGGGACAGCATGGGGACTCTCAATGTGTACATCAGGAAGCAAGGCATCATGGGACCCTCGGTTTGGACGGTGAGCGGTGACCAGCGTAACGCCTGGCACTTTGGGCATGCGCAGTTGGACGGAAGCAGCAGTTTTAACGTCATCTTCGAGGCCGTTCGTGGAAACGACTTCAGGGGTGACATCGCTATAGATGACGTCACCGTCAGTGATGAATGTGGTTTGATAACAACAACAGGTAAACATTTAACTAAACAATTAGGTGTAGAAATACCATGTACCAGATCTCACTCTTCTCTTGGTTAAATATGTGTATAGGTAGAATTTTGACCCTTGAACCTTAATCTAATACGAAATAATCTTTTGATATATGTCATCTCCCTAATTCCACCCCTATTATCCCAATGAAAGGTGGTCTCTAGGCCGATTTGAGCTTCTCGTGAATAAATAATTTTGGCTTGATCCATCAAAATAAAGCACAAATGACGTATTAGAATTTGATGTATTAGAACAGTCCAAAAATATGATGCTTAATTCAGCTTTAGCTTAAAGCAAAAGTGTTTATCTTAATTATGATAGATGACCCTTTGTCATGCGGTGGCATAATGACTTTCGCATTTTACGTGTTTCTTGCTTTGTGATGTGTTGCAAAAGAAAAATCCCTAAATTGTAAATATACAGGGCATTATAAATAATGGTACTGCAAGTGCAACGCATATACATGTATATTGGCTCCGCAGGAGTAGGGAACAAGACAAGTACTGAATGACATCAGCACTAACTGGAACCACATTATAAATTGTGTTCATATAAATGATTAAGGTAATCAAGAGAGGTTGACAGCGTGTCGTGTATGTGCTGGTTAATATTTATTCCTGTCATTTGTCCATAATATTTAAGCCGATGTCATTGCATCATTTTCCAGTTCTGCCAACTACAACACCGTATCCCCTGGCCTCTCCAAACTGTACTTTTGAAGCGTCGTCAATCTGCGGGTACCGACAGGACATCCACGACTCTGCACAGTGGACATGGCATCAGGGACAGACAGACACCGGTTATACAGGACCTATATTCGACCATACTTTGGGCACAGCAATGGGTAAAATACCTTCCTACACATGCAACTTACTAGACTTGTCAATTTCTCTGCGTAGTCAGATTTTCAAGCCGGGGGCCTGGTCGGGCTGTTTACATGAAAAAAAAAAATTAATCAAAAATAAAGTGTGTCGGAAATAGTGCTCCTGGATATTTTTTTTTTTAATTGTATTCCTTATTACCTCCGGGTAGGGATGTATCCCGTGCGCGGAGGTTTTGTGGGGGAAGACGAAAATTACGTTCGCAGCAGTTTCTAGCGTTTGGGTGGACGGATATGTCTGGGACTTGGTATACGTTTTGCTATTGGGCTGTAGATGGTGCACGTTGTTTTTGTTTTTTAGTATGTGTGTTTTAGTGCGTGAAAATGATGCGTTTTGACAGCGTATGGACACCCCTTGTGTGTGAAAGTGGTTTTGTCTTTTGGTTTTCGGCGTGTATAAAGTGTCGTAGGTTGCGTCCACATCTGGTGAGAGGGGGTTTCAGGTATCGAGTGTGAAAATGGTCGCGCGGGTCGCAGCCAGCCAACTTCCGGGTGGGCCAATGGGTCAACGCCCTCTTGCGCAATTTCGGATGTTTTCTGCGTATAGTACGACTTCTTAACTTACAAATACCGTGGTATACTGTCTCAGGCGTTCTCGACATGCATTTCGCGTTGGGGTAGACGGGACTCGGTGTATCTTCTGCTAATGGGCTGTAGATGGTGCAGGGTTTTTTTGTTTTATTGTATATGTGTTTTGGGGCGTAAGATTATTTGTATTTCGTGTCTCGGACACCCGTTACTGTTGTTAGTGTGTGAAAATGGTCGCGCGGGTTGACCATTTGCGGTTACATCTTCGCCAATCAATCAGCACACTCGGCTCGGGGTCGCCGATGTTATCCTGGAGCTAGCTTGGGTGCCATCCCCTACCGCGAGTGAGCGATAATCTTTCGGCCAGGGAAAGCCACACGCCCCGCCGACCCTGATTTGCGCCCTGGCTCTCCTCGCGTCCGGATCTGGCCAGGTGTCTGTACAAAGCCTCTCGACCGCTGAGTCCCTGTGTTTTCGAACTTCGGTGGGGATTTCCGTGTTGTTTTCTGATTTTCATCATCCAGTAAGATATACTTGAAGACCGAGCGTGATTTGAACTAGTGTGGGATAAGAGGGGAGGGATGGCAGCCGCGGGGGGAAGCGGTCGGCTTGATAAATTTTCGAGAGCAAGTTGATTTCTCACGCGGCCGTTTGTGTGGGTGTTTGTTTACATTATCGCTGGTCGCTGAGGGTCGGGCAGCCAGATTCGCCACGGGATGCCTCCTGTCCTTTCTATTTTTGGGCTCCAGTCGGCTAGGGGGGATTAGTGATTTCACAGATCATTTAGCCAATTACAAACATTTCGAAACTTTTCGAAAAAAATGGTATTCGCGCGAATTCACTAGTTAATTTAAAGAACAGTCCCAACATGCACATAACATTCTGCAACATACATTACAATACCCGGAGGTACAAAATCTACGATTTGCCTTGTTTTTATACTACTTTTAGTTTCATTAGACTGGCTGACCGGGCCTCGGGTTAGCCGGTAACAGTAAGCAGGAAATGATGTTGCAACGCCTCACTGCAATGTTGCGATTTGTGTTACTGGCCAAAGACTGAACGGCGTTTAATCTATGTTTTACATTATGATACAGATTACATGAAAGTAACTATAGTTACTGTTAATCCCCACAGGACACTACATGTACTTCGAGGCGTCTGACCTTACATCAGGGGTGATAGTACGCTTGTTGTCTCCAGCCGTTCCCATCATTTCCTCAGCTCCAAGCAACACCGGCTACTGCCTGACGTTCTGGTACCACATGTACGGCCTCCATATAGGTACTCTTAACGTTAATCAGAAATGCAGTGGAGGCTCGGAAGTCCCCATATGGAGCCTCTCTGATGAACAAGGCAATGTCTGGCGACAAGGACAGGTGAGGTGAAATGACTAATACGTTAGTTATCTTAGTATCATAGTGATGACATACTTATCGAGCGTGGGGGAAAAGAAGAAAATACCTGTATTCATAATACATCAACAGTTGTCTTGTCACTTTTGTTACTTCTACACGTTTGTTTTCTCTTATTATGTTTGATTTAACTTATGTACCTGTATTTATTTTATGAACTCTTTGTTCATTATGTACAGATTTGTTTATTTGTATTTACGATCTGCTATGAGTTCACTTATTTGTTCACCATTATTGTATATAGCCTACTTTTATTTGCGTTCATATTTTGTTTGGATTCTGTTATCTGTACCTTTGATCGTCTTTTGTTTATGTATAATTTATTGAATCGGTGTCGTATAAGCCCACACGGGCTGGGCGCGGGATAGCGCACGACACGGAAATAAAGTATCATTCATTCATTCATACTCTCAGTTTTTTGTTGTGAAGATGTAATATTCACTTCATCCTTACTTCCCCTACCTTACACCAGCTTCCTCTTGACGGAACCGCGGAGTTTACGGTAGTGTTTGAGGCAGTTCGCGGCAGCAGCTACAAGGGAGACATCGCCATAGACGATGTTGATGTGGCTCCGTACAGAGGACAATGCGGTAAGAAATGCAGTTAAATGTTACGTCGTTCTTTACGCTGAAGGGCACCCACTGGTATTTGCGGGTTCGTTAGCTTGCTATTTTATATTGTTACAGTGAAAAAGTAGCTCGGTATAACAAATGTAGATTGATTATAGTAGTGTTCTTTTTTTTCAGAATTTATCCCTTCCTCCGCCATGGTGCCTTTGCCTTCTACATCTACCATTACCACCGCCTTGTCCAGTACAAGTGCCCACCTCTCAACATCAGGGATAACCTCCGTGGCAACAACAGCAGAACAACCATCCACAGCAATGTCAACGTCAACGACTGATCGTATCTCATCTGCTACTACAGTAACTGTTGTACCTCCTACTCCCAGCATCGCAACCCAATGGTCCAGTACTATAAATTCCTTCATCGCAACAGAGACACTCTTCGGGGCAACAGCGGAGCAACCATCCACAGCAAAGACGACAGAAACATCGTCAACAACCGACCGTATCTCCTCTGCTACCACGGTACCTGTTGTTCCTCCTACTCCAACCACCATCAACCTTTCTGTCAGTACAAGTGCCAACCCTTCAAGGCCAGGACAAATTTCCGTGGCGACAACAGAACAACCATCCACAGTAATGCCAACAGAAACACCGTCAACAACTGACCGTATCTCTTCTGCTACTACAGTAACTGTTGTTCCTCCTTCCACCATCACCACCACATCTCTCAGTACAAGTGCCCAACTCTCAACGTCAGAGAAAACCTCCGTTGCAACAACAACAACAGAACAGCCATCCACAGTAATGCCAACAGAAACACCGTCAACAACTGACCGTATCTCTTCTGCTACTACAGTAACTGTTGTTCCTCCTCCCACCATCACCACCCAATCTCACAGTACAAGTGCCAAGCCAACAACGTCAGGACAAATATCCGTGGCAACAAAAACAGAGCAACCATCCACAGTAATACCAACAGAAACATCGTCAACAACTGACCGTATCTCCTCTGCTACCACAGTACCTGTTGTACCTCCTACTCCAACCACCATCAACCTTTCTGTCAGTACAAATGCCAACCCTTCAAGGTCAGGACAAATCTCCGTGGCAACAACAGAACAACCATCCACAGTAATGTCAACAGAAACACCGTCAACAACTGACCGTATCTCTTCTGCTACTACAGTAACTGTTGTTCCTCCTTCCACCATCACCACCACATCTCTCAGTACAAGTGCCCAACTCTCAACGTCAGAGAAAACCTCCATGGCAACAACAACAACAGAACAACCATCCACAGTAATGCCAACAGAAACACCGTCAACGACTGACCGTATCTCATCTGCTACCACAGTACCTGTTGTGCCTCCTACTCCCACCATCACCCAATCTCACAGTACAAGTGCCAACCCCTCAACGTCAAGAAAAATCTCCGTATCAACAACAGCAGGGCAAACATACACAGCAAAGACGACAGAAACATCGTCAACAACCAACCGTACCTCCTCTGTTACCGCTGTAACTGCTGTACCTTCTACTCCCATCATCATCACCCAATCTCATGGAACACGTGCCAACTCCTTAACATCAGGGTTAATCCCCGTGGCAACAACGACAGAACAACAATCTACAGAAATGCCAATAGAAACATCGTCAACAACTGTCCGTATCTCCTCGGCCATTTCAGTACCTGCCGCACTTCCTACTTCCAAAAGCATCACCCAATCTCACAGTACAAGTGCCAACCCCTCAACGTCAGGACAAATCTCCGTATCAACAAAAGCAGGGCAACCATCCACAGCAAAGACGACAGAAACATCGCCAAAAACCGACCATATCTCCTCTGTTACCGCTGTAACTGCTGTACCTTCTACTCCCAACATCACCACTCCATCGTCAAGTGTGCACCCCTTAACGTCAGGGATAATCTCCTTGTTAACAACAACAGAGCAACCATACACAGCAATGCCAACAGAAACATCGTCAACCACTGGGCGTATCTCACTGGCTACTACTCTAACAATAACTGCTGCAACTCCAACACCCGCAACCAATACCCAGTCGCCAAGTACAACTGCCCACCTTTTGACGTCTAGTAACAGCAGAGGGGAATCGTCTACAAGATTGTTGACAGAAACATTAAAGACAGACGGGACAACTACAATCCAGAACAATAAGTCTCATAGGCAAATTACAACAAGTTCCATGCCGTCAGCTGGTATCACTAGATTTGGTGAGTACATCTGTCAAATCATTTTAGCAACTATTGTTATGGTCTAGTCGCACAGTTCAATTATCGTTTTATCAATCAGATAGTTATTTTCAAACGTGAAATATGTGTGGATCCAAATAAACTCAACTTTTTTTCCATCAAGAACTATTGCTTAATTCGCCTAATCACACAGACCAAATGGCAAAAAAAAGTTTCGTGTTTATTTTTACGATTTTCGCGTTGGCATCTCCACTGTAAAAATTATGACGTGTTTTGTTTTCTACCCCTCGCCGGAGGCCTCTGCATTGTCCAGGTATTCATACAGGGACTGATGCACTAGTATGGTAGCGCATAAGCGACGTTTCACTTAATCTGGCACCATAGCTGGTTTTTTTGTCACTTGCCCATTTTTCATGGCCTGCCGGGGGTCTGCTTTAGTTCACTCATGACGGACTGGATTCTGTAACGTCTCCATGTCAATCAATACATAAAACACGCAAAAAAAACAACATCGCATCGGCCACCTTATTCACTCACTTGTTTCTGATTTGTTAAACGGACCAAAATGGATGGAATAAAGAAAAAATATGGAGCCATTTCTTTTTACAATGCCCCCCCCCTCCCTTACTGTCTGGTCGGTTCTGGTCAGTCAGCCGTTTTTAAACACAATGACAGTACCGGCAGCTGTGTAGATAGCCAGAAGGGTACAAGACTAGGTACATTTTTCTATTTCTCCCACAGCTCATCTTTACCCGTCATGGTCGTCATTTGTAAACACTATCGTCACGGATGACGTGATCCTTGGCAGTTATAGGTGATGCACACCTGCAGCTGGCACGGACATTTGTTTACTACAAACGTATCCTCAGTATCTGCGCACTTAAGCATAGGTTGCTCATAAAGTGTCACGCCACACGTAACTTTATCTATAATAAAAACAACGATATCACCGAGGAGAGTAGCCACTATTAAAGATTCATACACGTAACGAAAGTCAGACTAATGAAGTGTTAGAAAATAATATGGGCTAGTTGTGAAACCTGATAGTCCACAGCAGCCATGATGCCATGATGCTATTTTGTCATTATTTGATCATTTTGTCCCTAACTGTATAAAGAAAACATACATCAGATGCATAAACGCACCAGCAATGCCATGCACCATACCACCTTGATTTGTTACCTGCTAGCGACATTACGTTTTTGAAGAACTGTTTTTCATTATTTTTAAATATCATACATACACGTAACAAAGTATGTTTTGTATTAATTCGTGGCAGGTGCCCTGGGCTGCGTTGTCAAACTCCATCATAAATGGCAGCAAAGATGCTCCTAGCTCTGCTTTTTTTCATTTGAAAACATATTAGGAGATTGCCGATAAACGAACTATTTGACCCTGACCTCCTCTACTGACCCCCTACAAGATCTGTATGGTGCTAGTGCATCACGGAGCTATTTTTGAAGACAACAAACCTGGGAGGCAGAACCGCAGCAGTAGATCTATAGACAGGGATGCACGCAACAATTGTTTACATTATAGATACGCCCCGGGGACATCATTGCCGAACTTTACCTCAGTGGTAGCCCTGCCTTCACAAACACTGAATACACATATGAAACTAGAGAGCAAACAAGACATTGTTTTTACGCGTAACTTTCCACAGCTTCAAACAGAAGACATCTTGTAGTATAAAAGGCAGTTTCTCTCATCTCTTGACCGTGTACTTTGTACAGCATATTCTTTTCAAAGTCTACACAATTTTGGTGATACGTGTTCTATGTACAGCGTGCGTACTTGCTTACTAAATGTGGTATACCAGTATCTATTAGGTGCGGTATAACAGTATTTATGAAGTAGATGATAAGTGGCAGTTGGTATTTAAATTTAATTCTTTGAGGGTCTCGATACCCGAGTATTGTTTTTGAGAATGGTCTTCCCTCTTTATTTTAACCGCTTGTTGTAAAGGTTGAGGTTCCCCATTCTCTTCATCATGGCTGTTTTGTATTACTAATACACTATGGTATTGTATTGTATTGTACTGTATTAACCCCATACTTTTAACATCTTTTCTCTTAATTTCACGAGACTACGTTCTAACAAGCGTAAATGAATTCCTGTGCTCGTCAAATTACTTCATCATATCAAGCTATGTCGTGTGATCTTGTCTTGTATGTTATTCTTATACAGATGATCTCTGTTTTTGTTTCAGACATTAATCACTTTTATTCACTTCCTTTCATTAGGAACTGCCGCTAGTGCGGCTGAAAAAGTACAAACCAACAACGCAGCCACGACTACCATCATTACCCTTGCGGTGGTCCTGAGCCTGGTCTGTGGTCTTGTGGCAGGGGCTCTGATCACTGTTTTGTACAAAAAGAGGTACGTGCCATTTCAGTAGATTTTTTTTTCAGCATCGTAACGTCTTAACCTTTATCACTTCGGATATAGAATTTATGTCAATAGTTCTTAGTCTATTTTTAATAACAATTTGTACTTTATTGTAAGGACTCCAATCTGGTAAAATAGGCGAATCTACCGTTGGAGATCTCAGTTGAAGTCTAACTGCAATCTACGATTCATGCTTATAATCAGTATCTATTGGGTTTGTAGATTGACAGACAGTATCAATCCCTTCTTCCAGGAAAAAGGCACGGCCTGGACACGGCAGGGTGAAGTACCTTACAGAGGAACACGGACCGGATTCTGCAGACGATCCCTTCCCCGCCAGTGCTGTCACCGGAAGGGTCGACTTTGAAAACCCCGCTTTTGAACATATCTACGAGGAGTTACCAAACCTGGTGGTGAACCACACAACTTCAGTAGATCACACAGCATCACCACCAGACCAAAGACCGTCGTCAGGTGCCTCATCTTCACAAACCGCAGTCTACATGGAGATCAAAGACAACGAAGTTTCCTGGGTGGAAGCTTCTTCGCAGCAACCAGTACCAAGTACTAAGGCTGACTGTCATATGCATATTTCTTCAACAGCTAAAGCCAATAATCCATTTAACCAATATCCACGTCAAATGAACCAAAAAGTCAGGGTGCATAGTGGCCACAGCGAGAGAAGCACTGAGGAAAGACACACCAGGCCAGGGTACCAACGAGATAGTTTGGAGTCAGAGAACGACTACACTCAACCTACATGCATGTCTGAACAAAACGTGCATGGCCCGAACCTGAGCCCTATGAAGAACATTGAACAAGATGCTGATGAAGAGTATGAAGATGTACGCAATGAGCGCCACCCGCCACGTCCAACTACACTTTACCAAAGCCTTGGACCAGATCACTATCAGAGATTGAATATCCCTGAGCATCCGATAGGTTATCAAAGTCTCCGTCAAAGTCAGTCCGAACAGGCCATTGTTCCTGAGAATGCGCAGGACACAGACGGGTATCAGAGTCTCCGGCAAAGTCAGTACCAACATTTGAATGTACCAGGCGAGCGTAGTACTACACAAAATACGGACGGGTACCAAAGTCTCCGTTATAACCTATACCAAACGTGAAACGTCCCTCCGCGCTCCCAGGACGACCGCCCATGAAAAAGTTATACAACGACAAACAATGTGATGACTAGTCTAATAACTTGTGATATAAATAATGGGTTATGGACGATAAAGGATGGTGTGGTTGGATGTCCGTTTCAACGTCGGTCATGACAGTTTCGTCTGAAGTAGGCTGCATATCATAATTCTTTTGACGTTTATTAGCTTTACTAGAAAGGCTCACAAACGAACAATTTTACCAAGACCTACCACCTGTCAAATACAACGCCGCAGAATGAAGCGGGCTGGTCACTGTTAAAGGCATTCCGAACTCCCTGCATTCCATCATGTACTCTGGGAGCCCACTGCAAAAAAAAAAAAAAAAAAATAGAGGTACAGGGATACCTAGAGTCACGTACCTCGACAATCTGCGTTGTAATACAACTTGCATGATACCGACGAGCTATAAAGGGCCATGGAGAACCATGAGCTATATGGAGAAACTTTGTAGATTGTTTAAGCGCTCTAACTAAGCAAGTGAGTTGATATTTATGACAGGACTAAAATCCGTTGTAACTTGTCTTTCATGTAACCCCTGAGGTCAAAGAAGTTTATCTGTTACCAACCACGATTTTTTTGTTTTCTAGTTTAACATTTTCGTACATAAAACAAGGAGAATCATTTTTTTAGAATATGAGGAGAGGAATATGCAAGGGAAACCAGAAACCAACAATGTTTATCAAATTTTTTCTACCGAAATGTGATAAGTACTTATGGCCATGACAATTAATGATCAGTATAACATACATACATACATACATACATAAGGACAAAAAAAGCAAACATCGCCCTCAATTAGATAAACAAGAAAGTAAGTAAACAAGCATACTATCTGTATTATTAGATAATAAAAAAAAAAATGGCATACCAAGTCTAACATAATGAAAGCAAGTTTGAATTGCATAAATCGATTGATGAGACGGGAAAAGTGTCAAATGCTTTAGAAAAAAACTAAATATAACATAGTAACGGTGCAAGACAGTTATGATCGTGGATTACATCTATCATGATACTAATCTGACTAGTAAATGATATTGTCCAATTTGTCGTACCCTATTTATATAAACCGATATATTTAATTTTTGGTAAAGAAATGGAAGATCTGTACAATACTCAATTTGATATACATTTAATAGTACGTTAATGTTTCTGTGTGTGCAAGAGTGTATGTGGGCCTGTGTGCAAGTGTGTGAGAAAGTGTATGTGGGCTTGGGTGTGTGTTTGTGTGTGTGAGTGTGAGCGTGTGAGCATGTGTGTGTGTGTGTGTGTGTGTGAGAGCATGTGTGAGTGTGAGCGTGTGAGCATGTGTGTGTGTGTGTGTGTGTGTGTGTGTGAGTGAGTGTGAGAGCGTGTGTGTGTGTGTGTGTGTGTGTGTGTGTGAGTGTGAGCATGTGAGCATGTGTGTGTGAGTGAGTGTGAGAGCATGTGTGTGTGTGTGTGTGTGTGTGTGTGTGTGTGTGTGTGTGACTTTTGACTTATAAATGCACGTCACTAAAATATGTGTCAGATTATCCCATGGGACAGCTAAATCAATGTAGTCAACACTTTTCGTCCAAACCGCCCTGTAATTTCAAGGCCACAATCCAACACATTTGGAAGGGCTGTACAATTTAACGGATTGATTGTGTTTTGTACCAAATATGTTAAAATTAATCGGCTAGGCATGCTAATTTCTTAATGTTCTGAATACAAGATTGCGTTGTCAAAGATTTTGCACATTTTTTGTTGTTGTCAACAAGCCAGTTCGATTCATATTCACATATAAGGTGTCGATATTTTTATCTGTGATTTTTTTGTTCTTTTTGAAAATGTTCCAAAGTCACATTGACTAGGTTACAAGCCTAGATTCTTTTATGGGGAATTTTCTTCCTTGTTGGAAATGTTCCAATGTCAGCAAACCGTAGATGATACATTGCTGTAGGGATGTTATAAAAACATGGACTTTCATCAAGCACCGGGGTGTCAGGCATTCCACTTGTCTATCTTTCAAAAGCTGCAAACACCTGCAACTGTAATGGTAGAAGAATTTCAGGGGCCCACTTGACGAGGTACTATTTCCTCTCAGCCAACCTCAACCCACACGGGTGAACCCACTGACTTAGACGTTTATCAGTAAGCATATCCGCCTTTACAGGTGCAAATAATGACACGGCAGGTGAAGAATGTAATAATATAATAGCTGGGTCGATCATGCAGGTGCCAGTCTGTGTTAACAAGAAGCAGAGCGGCTGAGTATAGGGCTAGAAGATTGACAATGCAGAAGCCCCTGTAGCACCGTTCTATCTAGTAATCTAATATGTCATGCACCTGTTCTTTAAACAGAGGAGACAGGCAAGAACTTGCCTTGCATAATCAAATACGGAGCTATTGTTTGCCGTGACAATTTCCCGTGAACTGGGCATTAAAACTGAGAGGATTGTTTACACCGTCATTTTCCGGCTTTTGAAATTACGAACGACGCATAACGTTGAGTTATTGTGCACTGTGGACCGGCTCTAACAAGGGTGAACAGCTAGCTACGCCTCACGGAACAAGGTATGCGATAACAAAAGTCTGTTTTTGTTGTGCGCAGGTAAGTGTATACAAGTTATGCAAACCCAGGTCCTGCACAGTATGACCTGTCACCACCATGTCAGTGACCACCATGGGGCCTTTGTGCTGTCACATTTTCTCCCGATGGCATATGTCTCATTTCGAAGCAAAAAAAAAAACATTAGTAAGGGTTCTTTTCACAAATACGAAAAGCTAATATGTTTGAGTGTAAGGTGTAACCTACAAAATAAATTCTGTCAGCGTATGGGCCTGTAATGTATACTTTGAAATCGCCCTCTGCGAAGGTCGATTGAACTGCAGTAAGTTGCGTAATATGGTGCATTTAAACGCAAGCTGAAATACCGTCACAATACAAGCCCAATGGCCAACATGCCCCTTTACTACATAGCGCAATTTTACATCTGCCAACCTCGCACATACACATAAACTCGGGCTTCAAGATTTATTCTTCGTACAATTTTCTTTACTCGCGTCATACAAGAGGTCAAACTTGGCCAAAATTTTATTTAACCAATCCTAACATTTGCTGAGATACTGCCAACTTTGCACCTGCCATAGGTAGTTCCCATACAAGGCCTAGTTCAGAGGCATTTATATAATTAGTGGCCCGGTCAAATCTACTATTCTGGTCATCTTTTCCTTGTTAAATGCGATCATTACGGCACACCCTAACATTTCGAGTTATGTGGAGTTAGTGTAAGCCGTGGCATGTTTTGGAGTGACCGGGCAGTGTTCGAGAGGCCATCGGCCATGTGTGACGGGTGCTTCAGAGTGGGCTGGTTTCACCAACAGTGTCATCGCCCGCTACACTTCACGGACCGATTACTATTGGGGCCTTGCAAAATACCGGAGAGCCTTTTTGTTGTGTATGCAACAAGATACGCCAGGTAAGTGTAACTAAGTTCAGTATGCAAACACACGCACAAGATATAGCTCCTGCGCAGGTTGACCAAGTCAGTCGCCACCATGGGGCCTCTGTGGCGGCGCGTTTTTCTGGTCTCTCTGCTGTTACTTGGATTATTGTCCGGTGGAGTTTCTGACGACATAGGTGGATCTTACTACTGGAACCGCACTCTCAGCCTGTCGGGAAGTCCGTACAACGTTACCGATGAAATCATCGTCGGTGAGGCGGCGACCCTGACGATCGAGCCGGGGGTTCGGCTGTTGTTCCCGGAGGGAGTCGGCATGACCGTGTGGGGACGGCTGATAGCTGTGAGTATCACCCAATTATTTTGGCAGGGCGCAGTCGACGAAACAAAATCAGTAGCCTAGTAAATTGACAATGAAATATGACATTCAGAAAAGCTGTTTTTAATTACTTATGTAGTTCGCTAGAATGTACGGTCTAGTGGACTTTCATATGCCATGATATTAATTTATGATTAATTATTAGTTTTAAAAACTCGTGTGTTTTGATCAGGTACCTTGTTATTCTTACTTTCCTTCCGAATTCCAAAAGTGATTTTTTTTTGCTATTCGCGCTAACGATTTAGTTTATAGACGACAGGTAATTACTTCATAACATGGGACACCACGCCAAAGTAGTTAAAACTCGAATTCTTTGACATAGTTTACAAGGTTGACTTTGCGTGCGATAGCCATAGACCCTAACGTAACATAAAACGAAAGTCACATTTATGGTTTTGACGAGGTTATTTTGTTCGTTGTTTGGATGGGTTTTTTTATTTGAAGGGCCAATGGTCTGAAAAATTTGTCACCCTTCAAAAAGATTATTTAATAGCACATCCGATGAATGCCCAATTTGAGAAACCAACAAAAGCAAAATTGAAAAAAAAGGAGTTTGCCGTGATGTTTGTATATATAGGTTTGTGTAAGCTTAGTGGCTTCCATGATCTTTTTCAAATATTCTGTGCTGATTTTTGTTTATGTATACGCTACGACTTGTATAAAGTAGCTTGTAAAGCTGACAATGCGGTACTGGGATAGGAGAGACTGGTCCCACACTGCTTTAAGTTAGCTTTCAATCGAGAAACATTCATGCAACTAGAGAAATTTACACACAGTTACAGTTAATGTCCTTTTCTCAGGTGGTAGTATACACTTAATAATTGTTATGTCCCTTAGTTTATTAACAGTTTTGTGCATCATGCCTACTCTGGACATTTTTTCTTTTGTCTTCCAGTAAGGCCACACCGATTTAATTTTATGGATGACATCCTCTGAAGACCCCCAAACTAGTGCGAGCGGGCGAATAAAAAAAAATTCCGGCCAAAAATAAAAATGCTACTAAACCATAGGAATACAAAGCTGGTATTGTGAATTCACGGCAGTTCTTAGCGACGTATACGACAAGCAGGCACATGCTGGCTTTTTGCGAATTTTATGAATTGGTACTGTGCGTATGTACTGAGTTCTTGAGGGTGCTCGGCTCCGTAATGTCGCTAACTACCATGGACTACCCAGGCCAGGCCAACGCCTCGGTGGACGCTCTAGATTACCAAGAGCCGGTATCAGCAAAACGTAGACCATTCCCAAATCGGCCCAACTGAGGAGTGCCCATTGTTACATTCCCTTGGTGTCATGCTGTTTTAATATATTTGTTCTTAAACACTACATTTTAATATTATAAATAGATTTTAAAAAATGTTTACAGAATTTATCTGTAATGTTTCTTCACAAAGAAGAAACATTTGTTGATTTGAAAGCATTCCATACTGACCAATCATGACATGTGTCAATTATTGCCTGCTAATGTTACTTACCTAACACAGTATGAAAAACTGCTCCCTGGCTTCATCAGCTGCATCCTTCTGTTCTTCTGGGTTTCGCCCCCTAAAGCAGGACCCACCCAGGAAGGGGACCTTCATTGCTGGCCAAACACTCCTATCCAAGGGTCTTTCACTCTCCATCTGTTGTGCTCTTAACCCAAAACCATCGGAATGCTCTCTCTGCCTCTTCTGCGGCTCTCGTAGTTACCTTGCTTTTCTTGCCCTTCACTTCTACAAGTCCCAGCATCCCCCATGTTGACTGGCAGATAAAGCATTTCCTTCCTACCTCCACAGGGAAGCGCATTGCTCTCCACCCATTATCAACACAACACTGCACCAGCTCTTGATACTTAAGTGCTTTCCTTCCATGTAAACTTCCTCTACTCTTTCTTTTATTTATTTATTTATTTATTTCAGGTTCATTACAAAGTATGTAATTGGACAGGGGGAACAGGTTAAACTTCATCAACCAAGTATCATCCCAATCGCACATACACTCAATGTCTCTTTGGAGAGAGACGCAGTCTCTGATAGTTGAGATTTACTTATAACATTTAGAATCGTCGGCATAAAGGGCCATTCTATTATTAACAGCAAAAGAAAGATCGTTTATAAATAAGAAGAACAATAGAGGTCCAAGAATCGACCCTTGCGGGACTCCGGAAACTACTGGAAGCCAATCTAAGCACATGCCCTCCACAACTACACGTTGTCTCCGACAAGATAAATAACTATGGAACCAGGACAGTAAACTAGAATGGATGCCATACATTTTGAGCTTATGGGTTAGTAGCTGGTGGGAGACACAATCAAATGCATTTGAAAAATCTAAATATACAATGTCTACTTGGCCACCATGGTCTGGGATCGAGCCAATTTCCTGGTAGATTTCAAGTAGTTGTGTGGATAAAGATTTGCCCTTGATAAGGGGATTGATTTGGTGCTTTAAATAATGAAAGATACGATCAAAAAGACATCTCTCCATCACTTCCCCAACAATACTCAAAAGGGAAATTGGGTGGTAATTTTCAACTAAATGTTTTCGGCCTTTTTTGTACACGGGACAGATATCTGCTTCCTTCCATTGTAAACCCAGCCTAGGGTTAAACTTTTGTTAAACAGATCAGTCAGGTGTGGTGCAATAACGTGCGCACTCACGAAGTACGACTGGTGAAATTCCATCGGGACCGATTGCTTTAGTGCAATCAAGGTCGATCAATACATTTCGGTCTTCGTCAACTGAAAAAATAATATTTCCTAGACATGGATATTCAAAACCAGAGATTTCAGGCAGACGTTGTCTAACATTGGGCACTGTGAACACTGAATGAAAGTACTTGTTAAACATCTCTGCTTTTTCTTTGGCTGTAGTCGCCTCGGAAACAACAGATTTCATGACAGGTGGAAGGCATCGGGATTTTGTTTTGGAACTGAAAAAAGACCAGAACTTTTTTCGGGTTCCTATGAACTAAAAGTCCAAGGTTATTCAGAAACGACGTATACTTGTTTTAAGAAGTCTTTGAAGTTTGCTTTTGAGTTTTCTAAACTTGTTTCAATGAGAAGCACTGTTAGTTCTTTTTGCTAGTCGCCATGCCGTGTTATTTTTGTTTCGAGCATGCCTAACTTCACCATCAATCCATGGTAAGAACGAGGGTTGTTTTACGCACCTCTTAGGTACACAATGATCAACGGTTTCCGTCAGTCCAAAAGCCCACCTTTCCCTAATGTTATCAATATTATCATCAATATAAAAATTCTGACATACGTTTCCTAATTCATACAACTCTAGCCTTAACAGATCAAAGTTGCCTCTTTTGTAATTGTAAATGTATCGTTTCATGTGATAGCCAATCTTCCGATTCATAGTCAAACAAAATTGTACTATAGTATGGTCAGTTGGGTAGTCAGAGGTCACCTGTTCGATTTCTGAACATTTGTCGGGTATATTAGTCAGCACTACATCTAGCAGATGCCCGTGAACATTGGACATAACGTTGTTTATCTGGGAAAGAGAGAAGTCGTTTACGATATCGCACAGGTGACACTCCTGTTCTGAACTGCTAATTACATTAGACCAGTCAATATTGGGACAGTTCAAATCACCTATCAACACTACCTGGTCGTATTCCACGTACACACGGCTAAGCATGGAATGCAAGTTAGTATCAAAGACAGCCATATCACCACTGGGTGGTCTATAATACACAATGAGTACAATTTTTGATTGGTTCGTAGGTTGAATGTCACAAATAATGACCTCGTCCATGGGTTCAATGTCCTCTCTTCGCTTCGAAGGAATGCTAGACTTCACAGCCAGGAGTACACCACTACCTACCCGTCCAGGCATGGTGACACTTCTATCTTTCCGATAAACTGTGTAGTCCTGTGGAAGAAGTTCTTGATCAGCTACGCAAGAGGTCAGCCAGGTTTCAGTCGTGGATATTATCTCAGGCTGGACATTCGTAACAAGATTTTGAAACTGTACAAGTTTGTTGCATTTCCTGCTTACCGACCTGACACAGCGGGCGTTCAAATATAGGACATTAATACAGTTACATCTTGAACTTGGTTGCTACTTCACAGGGAATTCAGTGGTAGTGGCAGGTGTCACATGAGAGTTTCCAGACGCACTGTTATCCCTCTGGACGTCCCGGCACCTGCTGAGGTCAAGGGGATCGTCCAGATGAACAGAAGTCAGAGTAGGCTCGTCTGCCGTGGTACTGACCGTTTCAGAATCTAGATCACAAGGTGGTTTCAGGATTCCTTGACTGGATGGTCTGGATGGTGTAAACCGCCTGCAGAGACCCAGGGCTGTTCTGCATTCTGCTTCTTAGAGTCCGAGTGTATTCGCTGCTCTGGTGACGGGAGGGAGTGTTTTCTCAGATTGTAGCAACCGCTCGACGCCATGTCGTTGGTTCTTCCCATGGGACGGTCAGTTCTATCATAACCACTTTCTTTATCTGCTTCGACAATTTGACACAGTTTGAAGTTTGTTACCCTGGAAGCCAGAACTCGTTTTCCGAGCCGCAAGAGTCCTTCGCCCGCTGGTGTAAATTACCGCAACGGGGGAGTCTAGGCCGGG